ATAACATCATATATATACACATTATGCTGCGCTGCATGAAAAAAAACCTGACATCGAATAATACGAACCAAAATCTGACTCCTGTATCTCCTCATTACCCACTTTATTAAGGAACACTCCTTTGATATTTGCAATTTTCTGATTGATACATAGCCCGGAATTTGTTTGATTGAAGGAAAAATTATTATTTGAATGCCAAACTTTTTATGAAAGGTTAAGGTGTAAAAAGTTCTAAAACATATACAGATCTAGCAATGATAATGATTTAGGAGCATTTCCCCTTTAATTTATGAAATAAATCATAAGAATTATAGTTTTATTTATTTTTTTGTTTAAATTTTTAAACTTATTAAAATAAGTTAATATTTCCTGCTTTAAATCTCACTTTTCCTTCTCCAGACATCCTTACTTTCAAAAACTTTCAACTACAATTTAGGATAAAAGTGGGTCAGAGGAAAGTTTGGGAAACATTTCATTTCTCAGAGATCTCTAAATTAGGGACCTCTTCTGGGGAGAGAATTATTATTTTACCTTTAAAGGACTCATTTAAAGGAATTATGATTAAAAGTATTATTGGAAGGTAAATAAACATATAAGATTTTTAAGAAATCCTGTAAAGCTCTCTCGTTAGAAAAAAAATAATCATAATGGAAAAAAATATTACCTGGGAATGTATAAAATAAAAGACAATATAATTAAAAAAAATTTAAACTAATTATTTAGTTACTGCTGACTTTGTTCTTTTTCATATTTAATATAAATCAGTTCTATTTACTGCACCCATATTAAGGTTTAAAATTACAACGAAAGCCTTACTCTACATCTTGCGTTTTTAAATTCAGATTAAAAAGTTGAAGAATTAAAACCACTCTTGAAAACTAACGCGCAATGAATATTTTCTTTTACTATATACTTACAAAAATATCATTCTTGTTCTAATAATGTAGAATTACTTAATACTAAGATGAACGCAAATTTCGAAACTCCAGATATATTTTCTTAATACAGGAAAAAAAAATTTTTTCGTTTTAAATATATATTTTGTAGTTAATTTTAAATTATTAAAGATGATTTTTAATATATCAAATTAATAAACATAACGAGTTCTCTTAAAGGTTTCTAAATGAATCAAAACACTGTTTATGAGAGCATTCGATACCACAGTTAAGTATAGCATAGAAGTCTGAAAAGTTAATTTTTTCCTCTATTAAAAAATGAATTGAAATGTTTAATTTAAATTTAAATGAAATTAATGTTTGAAAAATCATTTAGTTACATTAAAAACACCATTTTTACCCATTAAAAACTAACTTTAAATGAATGTAATTTTAAATACATTAATATATATATATATATATAGTTAAAAATTTGTAGTTTAAATTACCTTTTGGTTTTGTTGGTACAGAGCCAAGAGGAAGAGTACCTAATTTGCCGATTGGTTTAGAAGCAACACTATCTATAAAGAAAAAAATGCACATCAATATTTTAAAAATGAATTTACATAAATTTCGTCAAAATAAATTAAAATAAATTTGAAATTAGTCAGTAAAAATTTGAAACATTAATTAATTCTACAAATATAGCTAAATTTTTTATCATGTATTTAGAATATTTATTCGATTTATTTTGAAAAATTATAGGAGAAATAAATAATTGTAATCTTGACAATTGATAGATTTATAAAAGTCTTCCCTAATAAAATAATAAACGTTTAACATTAATTAACTAAACGCTAACCAATAACACTCTTTAAAATAACAAGCACATATTGCACAAAACACATAGCTTAGAAAATTCAAAAATATTGATATTTCTTTTAGTCTATGCAGAAAAATCTTAATAATGCTCCTCTAATGTGTATAATTTTTATATTTTCTTCTTTAAAAATTTAAATTGCTATCATGCCATGCATTTTTTTGTTGCAAATTTACTTAACTTTCACTACCTTTAAGCAATTAAACTGAACTAAACTCAGTGGCGTGACAGCCCAAGAGGGCCAAGGCCTACTGTTCCCATCTCAGTTTTCTTGATCAGGCTCTAGGTCAGGTGCAGGAGCAGATGTTCCGGTCAGGTGGTCAGCCGAACGCGGACCCCCAGTGTTTAGTTCCCAAGCATGCTTGGTACTCATTTATCGACTCACTGAAGGGATGAAAGGCTGAGTCAACCTTGCCCGGTCCGAGGATCGAACCAGGGACCTGTGTCACGACAGCGCGAAGCGCTACCTTTAAGCAATTAATGATATTAAATAAATAAAATATTATTTAGAGCAACTCTGATTTACGTATGGAAAATACATTTGTGGACTATATATTGATCTATAATATTCTAGTATACAATTTTTAAGCAATTACATAATTTAGGAATTAAAATAATTTGTTTAATTATTAATTCTTGCTATTCTTCTGAACTTAAGAAAAGTTTAAGAAAAAAATAATATCTTAAAACACTTATTATGAATATTAACTAATAAAGACAGTAATTTTAAAATAAAATTTGGGGTTTATTCAAAAGAAACATCAACTCCAATGAAATGGATTGCTTATACCACTTATTAAAAATTATCTGTTTACTATTTATTTATTAAATCATCTTTCCTATTATAATACAGAATTAATTTTAATATTTAAAAAATTTTCATATAAAAATATATAAACGAATTTGCATAAATGGTAATTAAATCTAGAAATAAGATTTCTATAGGGTTTTCAAAAGCTTCCCCCCATAAACTATCATTATTGGCAAGTAAAATTAATGTTTGTTTACCTGGAACACTGCTCAATGGTTCTGAGCCTGTTGGACCTTCATCGATCTTACCAAGTTTACCAACTGGTATTGAGCTAAGTACATCTGTAGGGATAGAATGATAATTATTTCAAGCAAATAATTTAAATCTATGTAATATCAAAGCCAACATAAAAAGTGAGCTACATAACATCATATATGTACATAAACTTTACCTGGTAAGGAACTCAAAGGCACATCAAAAGTTCCAAGTGGTTTTGATTTAATTTCATCTATAAAGGAGAAAAAAAAATGAAAATACATGTAAAAAAGATAAATTGTCAATCCTGCTATAAATACTGTTTTTGAAACAGATATATTTCAATGTATTTAAATATTGTTTTTACTTATTACAATGCACTTTTATACATTTTTTTGGGGTTTTATCCCATAATATGATTTAATTTAAAATACTGTATTTTGCATTGGTCCTTTTATATAAATTCTTGCAAGCATTCTGTAATCTAAACTGTATTTACCAGCATGAGCATGACGAAATATCCTTCAAACATTTGGTACTCGTACTAATGCAGAAAAGTTCAAATTACAATTTTTCATCTACACATAAGTTATAGCTTATGCAGTTTTCTATAGTATTAATAATTCCTATATAATAAAATAAAGAATTAGTGAAATAAAGCATCAGAATGCTATGTATTAAAATATGTGTAGGAGAAAAAGGTTAAAAAAAGTTTCTAAACAGTGGTACTGAAATACAAATGTTCAAATTTTCAATTTCAATATTTCAAAAGAAGATATTGATTACAAATCTTGTTTCCAAATTTTTACCTGTAGTACAATGGTTAGATAAAGTGTAATATTAATCCAATTTGCATTTTCAGCATAAGAACCATTTTATCATCATAAATTTCTGTCATACTAATGAAATTTAAATAAAAAGAAATTAAAAAATAAAATAAAAACAAACATACCGGGTACATGAGTTAAAGGAGCGCTTCCCAGAGGACCAAACGAAATTGAAGCAACATCTTTGACTGGAACTGATTTTAGGTTATCTAAAAATTAATAAAGCAATGTTATTCTTATTCCCATAGAAACCACTGGAATTTTAAAAGGAATCAAATTTATATTTTTCCCAAAAGTGCATAATTCCTGAGAAATATGACAGAGGAGAATAAGTTATGGATTATTCTATTTTTATTAATACCGAAATTACACTAGCAAATGATATTTGTATAACTACTAAGAGGAAAACGAAGAACAAGTAGAAAAAATGTATTTTTCCTTAAAATGAAAGCTATTTCCTTTAAATTGACTTTAAAAACTTACAGGCGCATTTAAAATTAAATAATAATATTACCTGGAATCTGGCTCGAACTACTTGGGAAATCGCTTGGTCGTTCACTGCTAGGGAGGGTTTTTAGAATATCTAAAAATACCAGAAAATTATTAGCATGATTATTGCTTGAATAAAATCTTATATTATTTGATTTTTTAAAAAATATTTATTACATTTCTGTAGGTTATTTAATTACTCTTACTCAAACAAGTTACGCATTTTTATTAAAAATAACATTAATTTCAAACTGGAACTCGTACAAAATAATTTTCTTTAAACTTCTTAATGAGTGAAACATTAAATTTGGCTATTGTAAAAGCATTTAAGTATTCAGCTTATTTCAATTTTCAATAATTAAAGTTTCATGGGAAGCAAAAAAATTTTTTTAAAAAATAATTATATCTGTAATAAGTGTGAGAAAAGTGTATTATTTTAAAGGCAAACAAAAGAATTATGTAAACTATGAGTGAAAATGTGAAAATGAAGTTTAAAATTCATGTTATGTAAGCGTAAACGATTCCCTTTAAAATCGTGAAATAAAAGTTTAATTACAATCGATTACCTCAATACCTTGTAAAACATTTCAAACTGACACTTGACACTTTATTTTTAAATAAATTTTTCACTTCTTACTAATTAATTTCAATTTATTTATCAAAATATTGTTAAAAGAGCTTTTTATAAATAATTTGTCCATTCTTTACCATTTCTCCATTTTTTTTTCTATATTTTCAAAAATATGCTATTCAATTTCCTTAAAAACATGCCGGCTATTTTTATGACGTGCAGATTGCAAGATTGCATTTCATTAACGAAGGCATTTGAAAAAGCTGTAACTTATTATAATCCTTTAAAAAAAATATTACTTCCTCTAAACACTCTCGTAAGCAATGTGTATGATAGGCAGTTAGCCAATATAACATAATAAAACTTCTCAATGAAATCAAAAAATAAGTACGTATAAGTATACAGATGGATGACAAAATAATACGAACACCTGTGAAAAAGTGTGACTTATTTCACACCTGCAGTACAGCCGCGCCGCTTGCAACAGAAGTCTGCCACCTAGTGAGCGTGAAGAGGAAGCTATCAGTCTCTCAACATTAGTCACCTGTGTTGCATGAATTTATCTAACTAGCTTTTATAAGGTGAAATGTCTGACCTGTCAGAATTCCAAAGAGGGATGATTGTTGGGGCGCGTTTAAGTGGAGCATCGGTGACAGAAACAGCAAACCTTTTGGGGTTTGCAAGAAGTACTGTATCAGCGCGTTTAAGTGGAGCATCGGTGACAGAAACAGCAAACCTTTTGGGGTTTGCAAGAAGTACTGTATCAGCCGTTATGACAGCATACATGAAAGAAGGTAAGACGAAGTCTTCAAAGCAAAACAGTGGCCGAAAGTCAAAGCTTTATGATAGGGATAGACGTGTCTTGCAGCGCGTAGTAGCTCGAAAACACAAGCAATCGTTATCCGAGATAACATCAGACATGAACAGTCATCTTCAGGGCCCCGTTTCAACAAGAACTGTTCAAAGAGAACTTCATACAGTGAACATTTATGGGAGAGTGGCAATTCGTAAACCCTTGGTGATAGCAACCAATACTTTCAAGCGCCGTCATTGGTGTAGAGGTCACAAAGGCTGGTCCCCACAGCAGTGGCAGCAGGTAATATGGTCCGATGAATCATCCTTCACCTTATTTCAGACCACCGGACGCGTTTATGTCTGGAGATCACCCAAAGAAGCGTTTGATCCTGAATGCCTTGTACCAACTGTGAAGCATGGAGGTGGCTCCATTATGGTTTGGGGTGCGATATCTTGGCGTGGTCTTGGGCCACTAGTACGTCTGCATGGGAGAATCAAATCTAATGACTATCTAAGCGTTCTAGCGGATCATGCTCATCCTTTTGCACAGACTGTATTCCCTGGAGAGACTGTTTTCAAGACTGCACAGACTGTTTTCAAGACGACAACGCCCCTATCCACACCGCTAGGTGCACTCAAACATGGTTCGAAGAGCATGACAATGAAGTTGAGCATCTCGCCTGGCCCCCTCAGTCTCCGGACTTAAATATTATTGAACATTTGTGGCAATATTTGGAGTCTAAACTTCGTTCCCGATTCCCACCTCCATCAAATCTTTTGGAATTAGAGGCCGCTTTGCAAGAGGAATGGCTTAATATTCCTTTAAACGTTGTCCATGACCTTTATGCATCGATCCCACCTCGTATTAAATCTGTAATTCAGTCAAAGGGTGGTCCAACTCCCTATTAATAAAGATTTTCTGATATTTCACGCATGTACGTATTATTTTGTCACCCATCTGTATATGGTCTTATAATCTTATAAAATTATACTTATATAATAATAGGTAAGTGGGAAAATTTGTAACATTTTATTTTAGACGTGAACATATCCAATGACACATTTTAAATGATATATAGATCAATGAATGATACAGACACATTTTAAACATATACCTGGTAATTTTCCTAAGGGCAGGCTCACCAACTGGCTAAGTGGTTTTGAATACAGTGTTTCTGAAAAGAAATTGAGTTTTTGACTTTATACTTTCAGAAGAAGATTCGGCAAAACATATCAATTTTATGGTTTTGAAATAATTTTTTGTCGTATGAAAGTATTCTTTTATCAATTAATGCTATTAATATAAAATATTTGAAATAAATACTTGCTTTTAGTTTGTTTTTAATAAATGCTTGTTCTATTTTTATTTCCAAAAGTTATAGATAGATATATAAGATATTAATAAGAATTGCAATAGCAATGCTAGATGGTACTCTAAACTATAATGCAACAAGTCTGTTATTAGCATTTACTATTTACTGCTTTCACCAGTTATCCAGTCTATCCTCAAAAAATTTAATCTGCACTGCTCTACATTGGTGTTACTACTTCTAGTTGAGTAACTTATTTGCTAGATTATCCTCCACCAATTCGCAGTTATGTAAATACTTATTGATTAATATCAAACCATATAAATTTTTTTTCTTTTTAAACTATATATCTTTAATCTTTTTAATATTGTCATTTCACCCTTTGCACTCCAAGTACTTTTAAATGCTGTTTGATCTAATCAGCACTATAGCATTTAAAATACACAATGTAGTATTATTATGCAATTTTAAAATTCTTAAAATAATGTGGTTACTAATTACTAAGGTATAAAATTTCTTAATTTGAAAGTGGTGACTGTTGATGGTGTCTCAGGGAGGGGGGCATTGGAGTACAAAGGGTTAAAATCTCTTTTTTAAAATAATGTCTCAGTCAACTTATCTCTCAACAAGTAACAAAATGTCAACTTGAAAGCAATTTAAATTAGTGTACAAAGCCAACGCTCGCTAATTAATGTGTTTATTTAGGTATATTGTACGTTATGTTGGGTTTGTCTAACGCCTTATAAAACCCCAAAATAATCGAGAAATAAATTTAGAAAAGCGGCAACAGCCGTGTATCGTGAATTAATGTTTGTCGCTGCAGAAAAACTTATATTTAGCCAAAAATAATATGTATATAATTTTAAAATATAAATTTAATGCATAATCATTAAATAAAAAAATTATTATTTTTTTTAATATTTTTAAATTTATTGACTGCATTAACAAGCTTAAGTAATTGTCTTATTTATGCGCTTCAAAATTAGCGTTTTTAAGGAAGGGTAAGTAAGTGTCAGTAATAAATATTTTGAAACAGTATCATAGTTAGGATAGAATTTCATAAAATTGCTAAATTACTTCCTAAAATACAGAGGAAATAAATTCAAGAATTACTTGGTATGTCCTTAAGTGGAATAGAGCCTATTGGGAAAGTGATTCGGCCTAAATTCTTAACTGGAACTTTTCCGAGGCTGTCTGAAAATATGTCAGAAAAATAAAAATAAATATAAAACTATAATTAAAACTTATATGAAATTTATACTCTTTATTTACTAAATGATGAGAACTCTAAAAAAGCGAAAAATTTTTAAGACTTTGCTTTTAAGTTAATGATATTGATAACATAATTTTAACTCAAAAGATTTATTTTTCTGTAGATGAAAAAAAATAATATTATACTATTTTAGTTTACTATAACAATGCCAAAAGAAGGAACTTAGTAGCATTAACATTGTTTCATGTTAAATGTTGTATTTTAAACACAGTATTTAGTTAATTTTCATATTATCAAACTGGTTTAACTTATAGTATGATGATATATGATGATATAATCAATGTAATATAATAACGATTCTATTCATTCAAGTATTTTAAGCTGGCTTGTAAAGAAAAATTTAAATATTAATTCACTCACAATGTTGTAAAGAAAAAATTATATTAATAATCATAATTTATTCGTATTTATTTTTTGAAATGTTTAAATTTAAGAATAGAAATAATGCCTACCATAAAACCAAAATAAGTAAAAACTGAGTAGATTTAAATACATATTTTAGAATGCTTTGAAAAAAAAAATTACCTGGTAAATGACCATAAGGAGGCTTCTTGCCTAATAAATCTAATTATAAACAAAAGAATAGCAATTAGTAGTAGAAATATGCCTGTATTATAAAAATTTTAACTTTTTAAAAACATGCTATTTCAAAGAAAAATAATTGTTAGATTAATTAATAGATAGATGAAAAGTATATATTTTCCCTCTCACCCTATGCATATTATCTTTGTGGGCCTATTTCATGTACCATAATTTTTTGTGAGTAATTAATATAAAATTGAATAGAAACTAAAGGATAAGTCTAGATGCAAGATATAGAAATAAGATTTTAATCACAAATTTTACGCTTTAATATCTCAGGTGTTCTAATACTCACTCATTCCACACGTTATGTCCATTAAATAAAATTTTAAATCTAATTTTAAAAAAAATTAAGTTTTAGAATAAGTACAAAAGCTTAAAATTTTGTTAGAAAAGAATACTGATTGGCAGTGAAGAATTCGCAGTCAGCAACGAAAAATTCTTAAAATAAATAGGAATAAAGGATATAGAAAAATATAATTAATTATATTTATTTAAGTATTGTTATTCTCACAGCCTGCGGATTATGCATTTTCTAACTTAAACTAGCGAGAACAAAAAAAAAAACTATGATCAGTTTCAATCATTTAATGGGACAAGTAAATGGAATATTAATTATTTTTGTATACTATTTCAGGTGAAAAGGTATATATGCTCCATAAGTTCCTTGCATTGTTCAAATTTTTCTTCAACCTTTCAATTACACGTCCAGGTGGTCTCAATCAGCTTCCTTACATGGAATCACTAGATTAATCGCTATGGTTAGCCATTGACTGACTTTTAATGTCTTAAGATTTGCCTCTACGCTAACCACCTATCCTTTGCGAAGTCTTCCTGCCTTCCTGGTAGCCTGTATACTTGCAAATGTGACCTTTTTTTAAACAAGAGTTTGAGTTCTCGCATATAAAAATATGCCCAAGCCCTTTAACATGATAAAATTTTATGACTGATAACATTAGGTTGTTCTACAGATTTCTATAGATATTCCACAGATTTTCTAAAGATTTTCTATAAATTTCATGATTAAACAAAAATATCCATTCATCATATTCCCTAATTGGTCAAATTAGCGAACGAAATTTAAAGCACTTTACTGAGAAATTTAATAAGAATGTTTTAAATTGTTAAATAGTTATTTACCTGGGAGTTTCTTTGCTGGGAGTTTGAGTAAACTGCTGAGAGGAACAGAGGCAATACTATCTAAAAGTTAAAATAGAATATATTAAAAAATATAACTTATTGCTATATTTAAATGTTAAGTAAAACATTCGTCCCTGAAATAGCGTAAATTTTTATAATATAAATGTTAGTTTTGAGTATTATTATTACTTATAATGCATGGTTAAGTATATTATGTTGACAAAATAAAATATTTTCAAAATTTTTTAATGCAGTAATAATTTTGGTAATCAATTTAATAATTATGTTACAATGTATACAAAAACCATATGATATTTTATAATTAAATTATGTGATTTACAATAGTTCAATAGATTTGAATTTTCTATTAATTGCTTAGGATGAAAATACTTATTTTTTTCAACTTAGAAACGCTTAATTACGAAATCAACCAAAAAGTTTCAACAAGATTTTAAAGAATTGCCATTTTATCATTCTAATTGAGGTTCATTTTGTTTTTTAAATCTGCACAATCGGAATTGAAACTTGATAGTCTTATTTGATATAAAGGTAATAAGTTTTACATCGAAAGAATTGTTTAGTCATTTCTTGTGATTTTATGCCAAAAAAAAAGAAAAAGAAAGTGAGCATTTTAAGTAAATAAATTTACAGAAACAACCATTAGAAAATTATTACATAAAAATATCATACCATAATAATCAATAAAAAGTTTATCATAAGCTTATATTTTTTTCACTAAGTAAGCATTTTTTATTTCTATCAAATGTTTAACTAATTATTAAAAGGTAGATCCAATTATCTCTGTGCACATTTATAAGCTTTTATAAATATCGAGATTTCATTTGTCGAAAGGGCCACCTTAATGGCATTTAATAGGGAAACGAAACACGCATATTATTTTAAATACATTAAAATGCAATAATTGCGCATAAATTTAATTTAATCACGTTTATATTGTTATGCTCCTGTTTCATCCATTAAAATAGCTACTATAAAGACATAGATTCACTTTTAAGTATTCAAATACGCATCACTAGGGCACAAACCTATTTATATTTCAAAATGATTGTAACATTTTTCTTAAAAAGCACCAGAAATTCCAATTAAGAATAAAAAATTGAAAACTAAGCTAATTTTTTTGCACTGATTGAAAAAGAAGCTAATGTTTTCTGCAATAGTTATATCAGAGGCAGTAATGACCATTTATATCTATTATAGAATTAATTTGGATAGTTTTTTTAATAGTCTTAATTTCTTAACAAAGACAATGGAAACTTAAAAAATAATACGATAAATAGAAGTACCTGGTACTGAACTAAGTGGAATTGAGCCAAATGGTACGATATCAATTGATCCTACACTACTTAAAGGTGTAGATTTATCTGTAAAGAGAAAAAAAATGATTTCTTGACAAAATAATCTTTACGATAAATTTAAAAAATTTCATTTATAAATCTTAGTGTGTTTTTAAATTTATTTATTAAAATATTTATTTTATCATAAGCTTTTTTTACATAAGATGTATGCACATGCATCATATATTTGATAGCAAAATGAAATGAATACTTTTGTGAACTTTTTGTGAACTATTTTGTCAATTAATCTGATTCAAATAATCCTTGATAACTCTATCATTAGTATTTTCTAAATTGACTCACTAAAATGTACTTCATTACCCATTAAGCCGAACTAAACAAATTTCAACATAATTATTTAAAATTTCCCCCAAAAAAAATTTTAATATTTTTAAATAGTAGTCTAAACTTATATAATTCATGCTTTAACAGACAAATTGAGATTCTGACAATAACAATATGAATGCAGAATTTTTCTCAATATTTTTTTATTGACATGCTGAAGCAGTTAAAAATAACTTGTAAAATTTATTTTTTTAAAATTTACTTTTAGAAATCTCTCAAATAAATGATTAAATAACAATTTATTTAATTGTTATTTTACCATATTGAAACAAAACAGTCAAACAACCATAAATTAGATTGTATTCAAACTGTTAACCCGGAGAAAAACCGTTTGTTAACTGCTTTCTTTTAATGCGGTTAAACAACCAAAATTTCACTGCACCAACATGGCTCACCTGTCGAAGCCTCTTTGTTCCTTGCAGTCGGATTCATATTATAGTCGAAAGGGCTAATTTATTAATCTCATGACCAGTAAAATGGGGGTTCGCGTCTCAGCATTTGACTCTACAATGTTTCCTTCATTTCTTTCAACACAGTGTTTTGCACTACACATTGTATGCTTCTACGCATTGTATAAAGTATTTTAATACGTTTCTGTCATTTACGCATAGGTGACAGCACCATAAGACTGCTAAACTTTGTCCAATGTCCAGTTAAATTTCTTTTTCACAGTTTTAAACCGTGCTCGATGTTAACAGTTTCTTTAACTATAAACTTTACAGTTAATTGCATTGACAGACTGCGGCTAGTTATTTTACCATAATTTCAGATTAAAAATTCTAATAGATTAGTTCTCAATGGAAAACAACTATAAATTACTCAAGATAAATAATTTAGAGTTTGAATTAATAGGGCATTTTAAAAGCATATTAGTTGTTTTCCATTAAGATCTGCATTATTATATTTGCTACTACATTATTGTATGTAATAATGTAGTTCTTAATGGAAAACAACTATAAATTACTCAAGATAAATTATTTAGAGTTTGAATTAATAGGGCATTTTAAAAGCATATTTTTCAACAGAAAATGATACATGAAACAAATTATACATTTAGTCATTAAACGAAAAAGAAAATATAAAAGCAAATACGCAGAGGAAAAGAATAACAATGTTACTCAACAGTACCTGGCGTTTTTCCTCCTTTTGGCAGTTTTGGAATTCCAGGGAACTTGTCTAAAATTGGATAATAAATATTTAAATAAATAATTATTGAAAAATCTAGCCAGTATAAATAAAGGAATATATTTCGATATTGTAATGAAGACATTTTATTTTAAATGTTCCGAAATCATTTATAAGAATTTACTAATGTAATTATCTGAGGGAAATTTTTCGAAATATTACAGTGACTAATTTAAACTAATGAAAACCGTAATTTCAGTTTAATTTTTTTATGAATTCTAATCATTTTTATCATTAGTTTCTCTCTATGTAAATATACTTCTGATTTTGTTTTCTATAAATTTATATATATAATTGATGTTTAAAAATGTTGGCGTTTTTGTAATTAGCCAACAATATTACCTGGTACTTTTCCTAATGGTGTTTTGCCAAGAGAGCTGAGTGGTTCAGATCCTTCACTATCTAAACAGAACACAGAATGGTTAAAAATGTTTGCATACTTCAAATGGATCACTTAAAATATATTTCTAAATTTTTCTGCAGATTAAAGATGCTATTTTGTACTTTTTGTACAATAAAGAATTTAAAAATGAAATTATTTTTGTACATTAAAGAAATTAAGGAATTCAAAATAGAATTAGAATTAATTCTATTTTGTACTTTTAAAACTTTAGAATTAAAAATTTGAAAAGAATTTCGAATTAAAAATTTAAAAAGAATTTCGAATTAAAAATTTAAAAAGAATTTGGAACTTAATTTATTTAATTTAAAAATTCTCATCACGTTTTAACGAAAAAGAATTAAGCAACTAAAACTGTTTTGAAATGTGTTAATCAAATTTACGTTTTTACATAAAGTTTAAAAGGAAATAATTATTAATGCAAATAATAATTCGATAAGAATAAATTTTAAGGCTAATAAAATTTTTATTGAACAAAAATGTATTAAATTTGTACATGCGTTTTTACATCACATTTATGAAATTCATTAATTAAGCGATTTAGATTCAAATTTTAATATAATATGTATTTTTAAAAGAAAAATTCTTTCAATTAAAACTGAAAAAGAATGTAAGCTATCCATCATGAGGCTTAGCTAGTACTTAAAACAAAACTGAAATGCATCAAAACACTAATAAATTTATGTAGATCAAGTTGAAAAAAATCTCATGAAACATATAAAATTAAATTTAATAAATTTCATTCAAGTGAAGAAAGAAGGATAGCAACTTACCAGGTATAGAACTTAATGGCAAAGATCCAAGTGGTCCTAAGATAAATCTTACTAATTTGTTTAGTGGAGTTGATTTAAGTTCATCTGAAATAAAAGCGGATACATTCAATTTAACTTTGTGAATATAGTCACTTTAGGAAATAAATCCGAAATGAAAATTTTCTTTCAAAATTTATAAAGCTTAACAATATATTTTTTTAAACTTTTAAATTTTAGGGCTACTTAAACATTGCATACGATTGTAAATAAATATAACTAAGGAACTGAAGAGAAAGGATATACTTCGTAATGGAAATACTTTATTAACTGCATTAACATGGAAAAAGTCGGCATATTTTAAAGTTATATTTTTCAAATTTATTATGTTTTCATCATTAACGCTCTTGTTGATGGGCGTCTGTTTTAAGTGCTCGAAACATATTGACTTTTCTTATTTAAAATTTCGAAGTTAGTAGAGTTTCTCCATTGATAAATATTTTCCACTATAATATTCGGTTATTCTGTATTTTTTTGTTCTCTGCTGACTTAAAGAAATGCTCTTCTTTCACAGTAATGTTTACTGCAGTTTTGAGTACGTAATGTCTATAAGGAAACTATTCTGCGCTTTATTCATATCTTTTGAAGTTCGGCTTCTTATTATATGATAATATTTTAGCGTTCATAAACGTTTCTTTCTTTCTGACTAAACTAAGAAAAATAATAATTGAAGAATTTAATAAAACGAAATATTTATTTAGAAAATCTATCTTAAATCTATCTAAAAGCAGAAAATGATTATTTCTTTTTTCACATATTTGAAAATTTTATTTGAAAATTTACTTGAAAAATTTGAAGTTTTTGTTAACAACTGGCAGAATTTCAAAGCTATCGAGATCGAAGATAAAACTATAAGAACTGCAAGTAGGATGCCAGAGATGCACTTAAGAGTATAGTTCAATCTTAGTACGAATGAAGAAACTTAGTTGTAGATTATGAAAAAAGAAAAATAAGTTGTCGTGCGTTGTATTTATAAAACATATTAAATTATGCACTATCAAATGCTGTCTAATATCAATTGGATAAAAAGTTCGCGTTTTCTGGTTTGGTTTCACTGTTTTTCGAAAAAAAACTTACATATTTTGGGTAACTGATTTCGATGAAATAAACATATATTTGATATTTTTTCCTTAATTAATATTACTATTATTGGTAGGAATGTAGTAAGTTTGAAAGCAAGTTTTATGAATTAAAAAGCTTAAAATTTCTTCAAGGAAACATTTCTTGAATTCAGTACGAAAATACGTGTTTGATTAAGCTTGAAAAATACGGAATAACCTTGAATATTAAAAGGCAAAATATGCTAGTCAAATTTCCCCTTTTATCAGTTCTTTTTAAAATGTTTAAAAAAATCTGTATTGAATAAAAAATAATTCCGGGTTAAGGTAAATTTTATTAAACATAGTTATACAATCTTACTTTATAGATATATTAAAATAATAGTACGGGCTAAATTAAAGTTTAATTTCTTTTTATTTATTTACTGTGAATAGTTTTCTTTAAAAAAATAATAGATGTTAAGCAATCCTTTTTTCTAGCGTCTCATTTAATATTGAAGCAAAGTAAGATAATATTCATATAAATGTGAGTAGTTATAAACTATTTGCACAATTGAAACGTTACAGAAAAAATATTTTATCTTCATTTTTTTCCAAACTCGGTGCAAATACTTATACGCGTATTTTCAAACTAATATAACTACTTTATAAGTAGAACCAGAACTCATATAAGAAATACCCCAAAACAATGGAATTACTATGAAGCTATTCTAATTTGAAACTTTTTCTGAAATCGGAATTCTTTATTAGTATATTATGTCTTAAAAGAAAGCTGTAAATCTTACCTGGTATATCACTGGGGTTTATTCCTGGTATTTTACCTGTAAAAATATGAAAGTATGTGTGTTATTTTAAATGGAAAAGTCATCTATAAGAGTAAAATGGAGATTTTTGGTGTCTGTCTGTATCTCTCTTATAACTATAGAATTGTTTGAGCTAGCGTCTTGATATTTGATCAGTTAATAAAAGGAAACAAATTAGCCTCCGATTCTAAAAACAGTTCAAAAACTTTAACTAGATCATTTAGGACAAATATTTAAAAACAGAATTTTATAATTGTTTTAGATATAGCATAAGTGTGGTAGCATAGGCGGTTTTACGTCATCATATTAGTAATTAGGCAAGATGAAACCGTGTAACTATTTATTTTTTAATACTATTAAACTTTTAAATCATTTTAATATGAAAAAAATAAATTAAAACTAAAGGGATTTTTAAAAAAAAAATTATAAGTTACAAACTGGAAAGCAAAATTAATTGATAATGAGTTCTGAATTGCTATAGGAGTAAGGTACGAAGCCGCCACATTATTATTGAAAGTTAAGTATATGAATCACGGTGACCGAGGGATTGAGCTTCGTTCTTCCATGCAATAAGTACTGGAAAATATGCTAGATTTTAAGCATTATTTAAAAACTTTTTAATTTAATAAAAACCAAAAGCATTACTAAATACCTTCAAATTAATTTAAATAGTGTTGAAAACAGAGTAGGTTCACTAAAATAGTTATTTATTATTATATTTTTACCCAACGCTGTAAATTGAAAAAAAATACTGTATTATTTCCATTCCTTTACTACTTTTCTGAATTTAAGGAATGAATGAAGAGATTAAATGAATGTATTTTTCTCTTTAGAAATATACTTTTATTTATTCATAATAGGTAAAGATACTCTTATTCTCCCAAAATAACTCAGAAAAGCCATTCATTTGAAAAATGACTTTGTGAATGAAAAAGATTCAAAATAATTTTTTTGTGGATATTATTATTACAGTATTGTGGAAAATTACTGTAAGTACTTCATGAGTAAAATGAACATTAATAAAGTGAAATAACAGTGCGTGTAATATGAGAATTCTTGTTGTTTATTGGTTGTCCTCCACCTGGTTGTCCTCACTGCAGATTTTATGCCATTATTGCTATGGATTCTCTGTATAATACCTTGCAATAGATAATGTTAGTTCGCTTATTGCTTACAATTTTTTAATCACAGTTTTCTCTTTACTGTGCATCTTAAAATCAATGATGCAAAATGGTAATTTTAGAGTATATCGTATTTGTTAAAATATATTGATCTTAACTGATGTCTCTATCGGATAGAAAATTGCACATGATAACTTTCAGGACATGTTCAATAAATGAAAGAAATAACAATAATTTTTCCTACATCTGGCATGCATGATTTTTCCTTTTTTTAATTTTTTATTTTAGTATTTAATCATTAAAAATAATTTAAACAATTATTTTTGATGGTTGAGTATTTTTAAAATACATTATTTTTTCACACCACATTTTTCAAAGACAAATTTTGACGCAAGTAATCTTCTTCTCCTATTTACACTCTCTTTATCTACATAAAATCATTTCTTTTTATATAACTTATTGATTTTGACATTTATGGCTTACCTGGCAATTGTCCAAGTGGAATATTCTTGAGTTGATTTAATGGCAATGAGGCTAGTGGTCCTGAAATTGGAAACAAAATTTTCATTCGTAATTAAGTTTAAATTCGTAGAATGCCTAAATATACTACATTTTAATCCTATTAGTCTCTTTCAAATATCTCGTTCTCTTTCTCTTAATATATATATTGAAATAACTTGGAATAACACTAAATCAACCAGTTTTGCAAACTAATATAAATTGTTCTGTTTGATATAATTGGTTCTTTTAAAATAATTACCTAATGAGCTGAACGGGAAGGATCCTAACGGGAAAACGGAGACTGTTCCAACGTCACTTAGAGGAGCAGAAGATAGAGCATCTAGGAAAAAAATTAAAACTATTAATGGTGAAAATTGAAAAAAAAAACGTTATTGTTAGAAATATTCCCCAGTCTTAAATTAAAAGATTATATGTGTATATATCTATATATATGCATAAAAACCATTAACCTATTAATCTATGTTTAATATAGCTGCTATATTACCTGGAAGTTGGCCTCCAGGGTACTCTCCAAGACCTGAAAATAAATACATTAAGTTTTGTTTTATTAGAAACTGATGGAAAAACACGCAGAAATATTAATGTAAATTTTTTTCTACAAGAGCTTTGAAGGTGAAAGTTAATTTTTTATTAAAATAATTTTTAAAAAGTATGCATTCTCTTTAAACACTATTTTAATCAAGGAAAGCTTTTTTTTAGAAAGGAGAACATAAAAGGAATAAAACTGAACTAAATTTAAAAAATAAAGAAATTAAAAATTAAGTTAGATCATATAAAAGGCATTTAATTTATTATGTAAGTGATTAACCAAAAAAATAAAAAAAATAAATAAAGATACTTCCCGTAAAACCATAAAAAGCCATGTATATTGCAATTGGAAAAAAAAAATAACTTGTAGCAGCGACATTGCTAAGCTACAACAGGGCCACCATATACAAGGCAGTGGATGCTCAGACTTCGAACCGAATGGACCTTACACTTATTTCTCCTTTTCTTAATTAATTAAATTTATGTTTGCTTGTCCATGTGCTATATGTATATTAATAAAATATTTGGCACTAAGCTTTTCCTCATTTTAAACTCCCGAGATCTAGCTAGGGCCACAAACTATTATTTCATCTTACGCTATGCTAAGGTCGTTAAACAATATCAAATCTTAAATAAAATTAAAAAAACATATATGACTCTATTGTACGTTTTTTAGATTTATTTATTTATAGCAGTTATTTTCTTCAAATACTGAATAAAAATCATTCTAAAATTGCGTTTTTCAATCATTTATAACTATCCAGCATGAATATCTTACCCATTTTGAGTTTGAAAAATTAGTAGCAATGAACTGTAAGAATATTAAGTATAGAAAGAATAAAGAATATTAAACATAGAAATAATAATAAATATAGAAATTTATTTCGAAATTCGTATACGGAGGAAAACTATGTAAACATGATTTCGTTTTTTTTTTGGGGCTATTTAATCGAGTTCAAAATTTTTAACATATTATTTAATCATATAAAATATACTATGAAACATTATATTATCTTCTTAAAAATAAATTTAGTTTAGTATTTAGTACTGAATAAATACATATCATAACTCCCTTCTATCGGTATAATAACTCCATTAGGAATAATTATAATTTCATCCGCAACAACATGTCTACAAAAAATTTATCTTAAAGACAGTTGAGATCGAATAAGGAAAGAAATTCACGAATTTAAATGATGAAAATAATTTGTGAATCTACTTTTTAAAAAAAAGTGTCTGAACAATGTGTATATTGAGACGGACATGTTAATTATTTTATTTCGATATATCATTTTATTTCTGTATCTTAATTTAATATTTATATTTCTATGCTGAAATTTCTAAATATATTTTTCTTTGTTAATTATTTTATTTCAGCTGCTTTAGGATTTTATAAAGATATACAATTAGTTGATTAAACTCTTTCCTTATATTTACAATATGGTAAAAGAATTCATAGATATATGCAGAGTCAAAAAAATTAAATATGCTATGAAATGTACTGTTAAATACATAATTTGGTTCAAAAATAACTGAAGTGATTTTTCTTACTTGGGTATTTAGGTGGTTTTCCATGTTGACCTGGTTGTCTTGGTAATAATGGGAATCCACCTGGCTGTCTTCCACCTGGTTGTCCTGGGAATCCACCTGGCTGTCTTCCTCCTGGTTGTCCTGGGGATCCACCTGGCTGTCTTCCACCCGGTCGTCCTGGTTGTCCTGGGGATCCACCTGGCTGTCTTCCACCCGGTTGTCCTGGTTGTCCTGGGGATCCACCTGGCTGTCTTCCTCCAGGTTGCCCACCTGGATGTCTACCACCTGGTTGTCTACCACCTGGTTGTCTTCCACCCGGTTGTCCTGGTTGTCCTGGAGATCCACCTGGCTGTCCTCCACCCGGTTGCCCTGGTTGTCCTGGGGATCCACCTGGCTGTCTTCCACCCGGTTGTCCTGGTTGTCCTGGGGATCCACCTGGCTGTCTTCCACCCGGTTGTCCTGGTTGTCCTGGAGATCCACCTGGATGTCTTCCACCCGGATGCCCACTTGGATGTCTACCACCTGGTTGTCTACCACCTGGTTGTCTTCCACCCGGTTGTCCTGGTTGTCCTGGAGATCCACCTGGCTGTCCTCCACCCGGTTGTCCTGGTTGTCCTGGGGATCCACCTGGCTGTCTTCCACCCGGTTGTCCTGGTTGTCCTGGGGATCCACCTGGCTGTCTTCCACCAGGGTGTCCACCTGGATGTCTACCACCTGGGTGTCTACCACCTGGTACTCTGCCACCTGGTACTCTACCACCTGGTTGACCTCCACCTATGACGGAAATTAATACTCCTAAATTAAGAATTTAGAACATGCATATCCTGTTAAATATTTTTTTGTTTGCAGGAAACTCGACGAGGCATATAACACTGTTGCAAACATAGAAAAAAAGCAAGATGCATGTTTCCATTAGTTTCTCGATCTATTCTTATATTTCAATCACTTCATGTGGTTAAACACTTGTCCAACTTTATCAATCAATCTATTAGAGGTAAATGGTATAGAGGCACCTTTAGCACTATAACCATCACGTGATTTATTTGTGAGGTAAACCAATTTTATATCGTCTAATGCGTAGTAACACTAAATCCAAGTACAATATTAATGCTTCGAGCAGTTTGTAAAGCCTCAGTTCCATGTAAGAAATGCTAAAGTGCTCCTCATTTCCGCGTTAAATAGTAAGTATCAAAGACTAAAATATAACTTTAAATTAATATGTTATCTGCACAAAGGTTTCAATTTAAATTCGTTTGGGAAAATATTCAATATTACATGAAGTTTATCTTAAAGCTTCTCTTTAATTACCCAGGGTAATTAAAACGATTTTTTTTCAATTAGCTATTGGAATGCAATGTTTTAAATTTTACCTCTTGAACGTTTTGAAGGAAAATATAGTAATTTTTTTTGCATTAAAAGATTTTAATTATAATTTTTGCAAACCCTGATAAAATAAAAACTACTTGAGGAGCAAAAAATTCTTAGCATGAGTTATTATTTGGGCCAGTCACATTTGTGTGGACAGGTACTTTGATAAGACTAGTGTTTTCACACTCACTATATTGAAGTAAAATAGTAAGGGAATGAAATATTTTATTTTATTTTTGCTAAAGAAATATGATTGGTTGAGGGAAAGTTTCATAATTGATTCTTTAATCAAATTAATTGTAAATTATGAATAGATTTTTAAAGAAGTTTTAAACAAGCTGCATTTTCAGAAAAAAACCTAGCATGTAAAAGGGAAAAAACGAAATTTAAGCATTGAAAATTTAAAAGCTTTTGCGTGCACTACATTTACACTGCTTGGTATCATATTTTTTTCCATTGATCAGTCATTGTGATTCATGATTGCTTTCATCTTCGAATGCTTGTAAAATAGTAAATACAAATATATAGACAATTAAATTTATAATAGTAAATTAAACTTATATCTAATATTAAAGTTATTTTGAATACTCTAAATTGAGAAGAATGTTTTAATGAGAATAATGTTGAAACATTGAAAATAGTACCTGGTAAGAAAATTGTTGGAATATTGTCTCGACCTGAAAAAAAGGATTATTCAATATCCAGAAGAAAAAAATTCAGACTCAATCAATAACTTATTTTAGAAATCAAATTTGTACATTTAACAAATGAAAATCAAATAATAAAAAATAACATTAAACAGCAATTAAATAATAAGATTAAAATTAAATAAAAAAAAAAGTCTATATACTATTAAATTAATAAACTTCACAACTTATTAAATTTAATTTAATTTATAATGTGAATTGTTTCCTCAAAAAAGTTGATTGATTCATAGGCAAAATATCAAAGATAAAAAACTAAATTCTCATCATCTTCTAAAAACTTATAAGTTCTATTAAAGAAAATTGATTATATCATTTAAATTAGAATCTATAACACTAAGTTGTCACGAGGAGCATTAAAATAAACTTGATACCTGGTATTCGGGCTGTTGGTAAATCTTTTACTGGAACGGAACCTAATTGACCAACTGGTTTAGAAGCTACGCTATCTGTAAAATAAAAATAGATCATAATGTATACATATACATCTTTACACATACAGCATTTTTATAACTTTGTAATGAAACGTCTATGTAAATAAATGCGCTAGTCAAAATAAAGTAAGGAAAAATAATATTGATAATATTCAAGGTGGAATTGAGATAGTTGTGTCCAAGGTAGAGATGTGTCCATTTCTTGTAAAAAGTTATTTACTAAAGAGAATAATTGAATTCAAAAACAGAATGGACCAGTGAAATAGCTCAATAGAGAAGTTCAACTTGCCCAATATAGTATTCATAGTTTTTTTTTAATAATGCAATTATTTGCACGATTTTGATACTTTTCACACCAAGATGATCTAAAAGGAATAAGATATGATATGAACCAAAAAAAAAATCAAAGCCGTAGGAAAATTTTTATTATGAAACGTTTAGACGAAGAAAATGATTCTGCATTCAAGCAATGGAGAAATCCTTCCTATTTTAATAATTCCTTTATTTTTATACCTATCCAAAAGGAGTATCATTTGTCATTTGGTGTTTGCACATTGGAAAATTTTCTTGTTTAGAGAACCGAATCTATAGTTACGTCCGATATACTATAGTTATTTGCGTTTTATTCACATTGTTTTTTTTCCATAACTTTCACAGTTCTTTAATTTTATATTTATGTTGCGTTCTCATTTAACCTTCCGTTAGTCGCGCACTTGTTTCCGACATGGTTAATCGCGTTGCACCTATGAGGTGTTTCTGATTTTTTGAAAGCCAAATGAAATTTAGTCTAGTTTAAATAGTTAATTGTTACCAATTTAAGACTCTTTAGAGAGATAAATATCAAAAAACTTATTTAGCGAAGTACCGAAGATAAATTTTTCTTGCTCCCGCGTCGGATCTCTTCCTCCATCACAAGATGTTCAACCAATTAACGCAAGAAGGTTCTGCGGTTTTTTACTCCGTAACCATTTTCTGTGTATATAACTTGACCATTTATACCTGCTACGTTGAGAAGGACAGAAAATGAGATAAAATATATATATTTAATTCATAAAAATATTATATCCATAATACTTGCGTCAATGGTCGCGCTGCACCAGAGGGGTGATTTGAGCGGTTCCAACTCTCCATCGACATGTTCTAAGGTCGGTTTTACACGGACATTTGAGTAATCCAAAGTTAGGAACATAACATTAGGCTCGACCCCCGGAACAATCTATTGACGGCAAAGGAGGTGGAAATGCAGTAGGGATGCACCTGTGAGGTGCGCGCGACTAACGGAAGGTTAAATCTGCTTCTGAATCATAAATTGGGAACGTAATGTATATTTAATATGCCTGATGAGCTAAAGGAAGTTAAGATAATTACAAAGCTAAGTAAATTATATTTTTCATTTGCTGCTTAATTATATTATAAAGTGCGTTTTATTTTCACAAAAAATAATGTCTAAATCAGAAAAGGGTGCTTATGATAACATCAGAAATAAAGTAGTAATCACAGCTAAAATTTTTCTGGCTACCATGAGGGTTTCGCTGACTTTGCATAACTGATCAGTTTATATGTGAGGATTTAAAGCAAATATAAAAATCAAGTTATGAATGATGCGCACAAAAATGTGCAACTTTAGGGAACTTTTAGTTTTAAATGATGGTTGCACCTTTATTTATTCATGGTGCAAAAGGTCTTGCGCAGATTTCAGATTGTAACTATTCGATTTCAGATTCAACAGCAAATACAGGGAAAATACAGCCCTTTCTTCATATAGACATTAACAAATCCTATATTGATGTGTTCTCTTCACAAATATTTTTTCGCTATTAGTTCTCAGCTGGTTTTTAAGGCAGTGTTCTTCATAAAGTATATTTCATACTGTAAGTATAAAATTAGTAAAAATATAAAGAAAGATTTTTTGTTCTGTTCATAATGCATAAATTAAGATTTCATGCTCAATAGCTAAATAATTATGTTGTACGCATTGCTTAAATTGTTGTTTGCATGCAGTCAGTTAGTCCCAATTGTACATTATTTTACAGAAAAATTATATTGCATGCATTTGCTTAAAGTATTGTTTTTCTATTTTTTGATTGAACGCAAGTGTATATTATTTCACAAATAAAATACACAAAAAAATTAATTGTTAAGAAAAGTATGGCTTTCAGAAGAATTTTACTAAAGCAGTCTCAAATAATGTCAAAAAAATGGTCGTGCATACATTTGTTTCGATTCGATAAACAAGAACTTTTTTCAGTATCAAAACACCAAAAAAGTGGTATTTCGTGACTTGTTTATAGAACAAAACTATGTTATGTCCTTTTTATGTAACATAATTTTTGCTGTATTTTCTTCGGTTTGCTTTATAGTTAGTAAAATGTTTAACCAATCAGCAGTTGGAAAATGTTTATAACACTTTAACAACTAACATCACAAAAAAAGAACGTTTTTTTTAATTAATTGGTATTCACCACTGAAATATTAGCTGTTAATGATTAATTACCTGGTACTTCGCTGAGTGGAATAGAGCCGAATGGTCCAGCAGATATAGCGCCAATGCTACTCAGAGGGGTCGAGCCCATTTTGTCTAAAATAAAAACGAGAATTTTGTTCATAGTATGTTAAAACTGAATTGCTGCACACTTGAGGAGTCATAAGAATGCTTTCACTGTTTAAAAAATTCAGAAGAGAGAAGTATTCTAATAGTATTCATTTTATAAGAATTAAAATGTAATTTGAAATGTTATTACAATATAGTTTTCTTCTTAATATGTAAGAATTTTCTTTTTATCTATTTCTAAAAATTTTACACTCAACTACTATGGAAATATTTTATTCCATGTAAGCTCAACATGCAAAAAATGTATTTTATGGAACGATAAAAAAATGAAATGAGTAAAAGCTATTCTTTAAACTTGAAAGTAAAAATTTACCAAGAAAAGATTTCTAAGAAATGTAAAACTCATTGTATACCTGGTAATGAACGTAAAGGTGTTGAGCCGAAATCCTTCAATGGAACATCTTGTAGTTTATCTGAAATGGAAAATGGTAAATTAATATATAATTTTTCACTGAAAATTGCATCGCATTTGAAAATAAATGGAAAACACATTGTGAAATATTCAAATATTACGGATAAAATTTGGTATAAAATAACGGAACTTTTGGAGTATCATCCAAAGTATTCCTTTTACCGCAAAATCTATTTTTACCGTTAAATATTATATTGTAAATGTTAGAGAAATATTTATTTAAGCAGAGTGCTTCAGTGATTTCATCTTAATTATTGCTGCAAAAACTGCGGCATATTAAATTTTCTGTTCCGTGACATGTTCTGGTAAAAATGAATTTTACGGCAAAAATATCGGCAACCTGAATGCCGGCAAATTTTGCACCGTGATTTGATCAGCAGTTTTTCACTGTACATGCCAATTTATAGCTTAAAAATTATCAGTTTAACAAAACCTGGATGAATTAGTTAAACAGGAAACTTAACAACTTATATTAAGCAACACCAAGTTATATTTCAGTTTAAATTGACTTTGATAGGAGTAATTGATATTGATCTGATACACAAATAGCAGAACGGTAAATGTTGATTTATGTAAAATTTGAAACATTTGATCTGTTTAAATGAAATAACACGAAAGTAATCAAACATCAAAAGTTTTTGTTAAAAGATAACAAGTTGTCAAATTAATATTAATATTGTAATTAATATTGTAATATTAATATTATTATTGTAATTAAAATAGTAATATAGTAAACAGTTAATATTTTAATGAATATGAATGTTAATAAAGAATAAACAATATGCTTTCTGAATTTTTTCTTTAAACTTAAGTATAGAATATAATGTATAAGAATATGAAAACGAAATAGTATAATAATAACTCATTAAGTCAAATAATGCTTTAAAGGTTGATTTGCTATTTAATGAGTACCTTCATGAAGTTACCTTAAAATATCCTTACAATAATTATATGTAACAAAGTATCTAAGTTTGCTTCTTAAAATAAGGTATTTAGGTAGGCGAATTATCGTATCTGAAAATTTAGCACATTCTTTATATTTAGTACTTGTTAAGTTATACCAGTTTATTTTTTTCTGTATATTTAGTACATTTAATGAAATTTTAAATAACGAAATATAATGAATATAATTAACTACCATTTTTCGAAAAATTATTTAACTTTTTCTAAAATTTAATAACAAAAATCATGCTCCGTTATTTTTGTTTTGAATTTCCCTAAACATAATGGAAATATGTTTCTTTACTTTATTTTTTAACGTCATGTTTAGATGGAATCTAATAAATTAAAACTCATAGTGCGTGAAGATGTAAAATTTGCAACAAAAACAAAATATTATTTTTTTTTACTGTTAATTCCATTAACAAATGTAGCTCTGTATTTTATGTTTATCAGCATCAAGTTGCATTCAGTCTATTTATATGCTTCAAGAAGAAAAATGTTATTTTTTAAAATTATACTTCAGTTAAATTTGTTGCAATTCGTTCATCTCGTATGCATTTTAACATTTGACGTTAATCATTTATTTGTAAATCTAGATTTTTAAAATTTAGAGGTTGCTTTAAAAATCCATAATAACAACACTGGATACCTGGCAATTTTTTCAATGGTATTCTGCCTAGTGGTCCGAATGAAAGAGTTCCCACATCTCCAACTGAGAGAGGACTGAGAGTATCTACAATATAAATAAAACCAATAAGCAAGCGATTACAATATCAAATCTTTTTCTTATGGAATATCTTACTCTTATAATGCATTTCCAAAAAACACGTAATTTATCTATGGAATTACCGAGAACATACTAGGATAGTAAATTATTAAAAATGCTTCAGACAAAATAAGAGGGGGCACTTTTAATGCAAGCGACATTTTCAGATTTAAATAGTTTTTCATTTTTATTGTAATTATTAATTTGCAAGTTTGAAGAAAGTAAAAAGAGACTGAAGCTTGTATGGTTATTATTGTACTGTACTTAGCCCTGGCTAAATATTTGCACTCTAGTTAATCTGAAAGTTATAAAATTTCAATTGATGAGCAATTCTTTAAAGTCATAAAATAGTAATAAATTCTGCCTAAAAATGTCAAGGAAACAATTTAAACTGGTTTTGTCATGTCATATAGCATAAAATTTCTTAATACAATTTGAGGACTTAAATTGTCATTCAGTTCAGGATTTCCTTTAAAATTTGATTGATTATGTATTTTTAAATAAATTTTTTTTTTATAAAACGCAACAAAAATGTAACGCAATCTGCTATAGTTATTGGCTCTATTTTAATACTTTATAGTTCTCACGTTATAAGTTTAAATACATTTTAATATGGAGTAAGACTTTAGAGTGGGCATTATAAAAATGCTTTTTTTTCCTCCATAATGAGTAGTTTAAAAAACGAATGATTTCCGAAAGTCATAATCTTCTTTAAAAATGTATGAAAAGAGTTATGATTTTGGTTTGCTTGTTTGTTGATGTCGAATACTGGTTTTGGTGCTTTGGCCATTTTGGAACACTATCGGAAAAAATATTAAAGCTTTTTGTAGCTTAAAAGCTGTTTTAAATTTTACATGCACTACAAGATTTACATTTCAGTTTCGTCTTTGAAATTATTTCTAACATGTAGGCCAAATTTTGAAAAGTACAGAAAAAATCTTAAGATTAGTCCTAGTATACAAAATTAATAAAATTGTTATTCTTAAAATTTCTTATTTAATATGGTATTTCTTGATAATTACAATAAGTTTGAATGATTTATTGAAAATTTCAAGTTAGTAACCATTTTATCGAATTGTTTTAGTAACAGTGAAGTCTCACTTTTCAAAATTTTACTTTTACATTAAAACATTACATTTCATGAAGTTCTGATTTCTTATCTCTCAAAGCAAATATAACTATAACGATATTTTTACCTGGTATTTGTGCTGAACTTCTTGGCAGAGAACTGTACTTGCTTGAGGGAAGAGATTTAAGCAGACCTGGAAAATCAAATATTAAAAATAATCTTTTTAAACAAAGCAATAAAATTTAATTTTATCTATAGTATTATGAAAAAATATGTATCACAAATATATCTAATCTGAAATGTTTAAACAAATAATACAATAATACCCAATTTGAAACTTATGTAAAATCATATAAATTTAGTACTCATTATTGTATTAAAACTAACTTATTGAGGATATGTTACGACTTGAAATAAAATGAAATTTCGTATCGAAATTTATTGAACTCTAATGGTCAGGAATCAATTACTATTAATGCACGTTGATGGCAATAGTATTCAAATCATTTTAAAATTAATTTCTAAATATAGTATAGTCATTGTTTACGGTAAAATGTGATAAAATCATTAAGAGTTAACATTTTATTAAAAATAAATTGGATTAAATAATTTAAGAGTTATCAAAATTACCTGGTAGCTGTTTCAATGGAAGATGAGCCAATTTTCCAAGTGGCAGCTTTCCAAGACCATCTAAAATTAATCACATTTTTTGTTTCAAAAGTTATAATTTGAATGCATTTTGTTTTTTATAAAAGCACTAGTAGTATAAAAACACTAGCTTTCATAAAAACATTATTTTAGCCACATGAATTATATAAGGCTAATTTAAGAAAATCTATATAGAATTTAGTTTTTAAGATAAGAATAGTTTGTTGCATGGCTTTAGATTAAAACAAGGCTTACTTTTGATCAAGAAAAAAAAGTATCGCATTTTCACACTTACCACTTGCGCTAAATTTTTTAATGGGTTTAAAAATTTTTGTATTTCGAATCGAAACAATTTCATGCTTTTTTAAAAATGCATGTGTCAAAGTCAATATACGTTTTTAGAAGTATAATCAAATTGCAAGTCTATTCTCGGACCAATTTTTTAAAATTATACTTACAATTAATAATAACTAAACTTATTAAAGAATTGAAAGCATATTACATAATTATGGGGTGATTAATATTACATCTTCTTATGGCCTATCACTAATTAAATCATGATAATCTATCATATTTCTTGTTGCTAATCAGCTTACCGAAAATTTAAAATACGCATTCTTATATTGAGGTTAAAACTAATTCCTCTATCTAATGAAAATCAAAGTAATGCATTTAGAATTTCTCTGTTCCAAACAAAATAATGAACTAGTATGCATATATGCTCAGGACATAAATATCATTGAAAGCGTCACATTCGCTATTTATCCATATTTTTTATTTGTTGATGTGTTTCATATAGAATCGGTGCATAATCACTAGTTAAACAATATATATATATATATNATGAATATATATATATATATATATATATTAGAATTAATTCCTTGAAATATTTCTTCTGTTTATGGAAACGCTGATACTTTTCTTTTAAACATAGCATCTAATCTTATCTTATTTATACGCTTCAAATGTTTAACCTTTAGAAAAAACATAGGATGTGATTTTCATTTAAGTAAACAACAAAAATGTAAATGAAATTCATAATTACCTGGAACATCTCTCAATGGCAATTTACCGAATGGTCCTAAGTCGAGTCTACCTAATTTTGAAGTTGGTACTGAACCAACTTGATCTAAAATGCACAAATAAAAAATAAATGTGTTACTTATGTGCTCGTTATATTGTAGCAAATGTGTAAAATGTACTTTACAAATAATATGCTCTATGTTCATATATAAATAAATTTATCTATGGTAGAAATTGTATGTTGCTCGGAAAAAAGTAATGCAAATTTTTGTTTGAAATTAAACGGACATGGAAAGCGTGGGATTCATATTGATCCTAAGAAATTTGAAAATGAAATTAGTTTATGCTAATGACCTTGACATGGCCTTTTTTAGTTTTCAAGCTTTAAACGCTTTTAATATAAACGCTTATAATGTTAAGATTTCTTTCAAATAGAGGAATTGTCATATTTTTGGGTATATATAGACTTTATGCATCTGTTATATAACTGTTATATCATCTGCTGTATAACTGTTGTACCAACCGTTTTACTATGTATCTGTTATACCATGAACCAAAGAAAGGAAAATGCTTCTTGAAAGAAAGGAAAATGCTTTTCTCAATGCATATTAAAGACGCTATTGACGATCTATTCAAACACAAATCATAATATTTTACCATCATATAACAATTCATATGTAACCAATCATATGAATCCCTGCAAACGCCCCTGATGATACTAATTTAATTATTAACATTGCAGCCGTAAGTGCTATGATAATTTTTCTATCCAATCTCTTTGCTTGAAATCAAATTTTCCTATATCAGAAAAAGATTGGACTAATGTTATAGATCAAGCAGAATTGTGAAGGATCTAAGTCAAAAAAAGTTGGGGTTCAGCAAAGACGCATTCTTAAAGGGTTGTGAAATTGTTAGAGAACAAAATTGTTCGTAGATAATGAAAATTACTTCCGATTTTATATCCTGTTAAAGACACATAAAAATAAAGCTAACGAAAGTATATTGAGAATGTATATCGTACCTGGTAATTTTCCGTAAGGAGGAGATTTACCAAGCTTATCTACAAAAAAAAAACAAACAGCAATGATTAAAAAATATTAAATTTTAACAATCATAAGGCATAGTTAGTAATAAAAATCTTAACACATACCAAACAATCTATATTATATTAGTTATTAGATTCTTTTGGACGTATGAGTTTAAAAACATTCTTCTTAGAATACCATTTGTAAAATTTATTTTTACTATAAAATATTAAGAAAATTTATTGATATACCTAAGTGTCTTTCTTGATTTTATTTTTAAACCAAAAAGTTTTTATTTTTTATTTTTTTACTTCATAATATTTTTACTTTTATTTTTAAAAGAAATTGTTTGAAAAACCAGTATAGCCATTATAACTACTCGAAACATCTAATAAAGTGCTTAATGATACAAAATGAAGACATGATTGACTTTATAACAAAAGATGAATAACAAAATGTATAACAAGTAGATGTATAACAAAATTCAAATTACATAAGTTTATACATGCGGCTTGAAATTTGGGGAAAAATAGCTGTCTAATGCAGAAAAGGGCAGAAATAAATAAAAACTGACAGTTTTATTTATATATCGCATGAATTATTGCTTAAAATAAAAATATTTTCTTTTTCTTTTACTGGTCATCTCAAAATACAGTAAATAATTTCCTTTTCTTTCACTTAGTAATAACAATGTGGATAAGAGTTGTTCTACAACTTAAAAAAAGGTAGAAATTAGGAAAAAAAATAGTTGGAAAATGTAAATTTCAAAGTCATCATATTAAAATATATACGTACCTGGCAACTTATTGACTGGTGTTTTTTCCAAACTCTTCAAAGGTGTAGGAGCAACGTTATCTGAAAAAATATTAGTTATTTATATATTTAATTAGAGTATAATTATTGAAAACAAATATGATTGTTACTGATGGTGATATTTAATATTCAATGAAAATTAAAGTTGTGTGTTTAATGAATAAAAATAAAAATGAAAACACAGTAAGTCACATTTATATACTTTGCAACATTTGAACTTTATTTAAACTAAAGTTTGATTTTTTTAAATTATATTATCAATTTTAATTCTTATAACTATGCGTCTATACTCCAAAATTTATTTTGAATTTATTTTTTTAAAATTTCATTTAAATTAAAAATATTATTAAAAATTTTTTTATTTGAAGAAACTCGGAGTTAAATAAATGGTAAATTTTAAAACTACTTTAAATTTTTTAAAAGGAATATTTTTTTGACACTTAGGCAAAAAGTTATGGGTTTGTGAGTTCTAAAAAATGGTAAAATATCAATAAAACAAATTACTCAATTGATTAGAAAATATTGTACTATATTATTAAACTATATTGTTGTAAAAAAAATTTAAAATATGTTATAGGCCCTCTCATTGTTTTTCCGTGAACGAAAAATTCAGATTTGCTAAAATTAGCTTACATTTGATGCAATTTACGAGATTTAGTATGTTTGTAAAATTAAAATCTTGTGAAGTTAAAATTTTCCAGAAATTTTTACAAGAAATGAAAATAGTTTATCGTCAAATGTTTACCTGGTACATTATTTAATGGAATCTTGCCGAAGGGTGGCATTTCAATCGATCCCAAATCTTTTAGAGGTGTAGAGCCATCTGAAATGAAAATTAATTATGATTTAATATTGTTTTGAAGCTTTTTTTACATATTACTGATTAATAATATTTGAACTGATTATGTTAGAAAATGTTTAAGTCGAATAACTTTTTTACTATGTAAATTTTTTTTTCTTTTTTAATACCGATGTTTGGTATCATTTAGGAAGCCACTTAGTTCTTTGCAAGATGGGGCAACTAATGAGATACAAGCCTTATATAAGGTAATGTGAAATGAAATGAATTTTTAAAGGAAATAAAATTGAGAAGCAAGAAGATATTTAAAAATATTACTTAATATTGAACAATAATAAATGGCGACAAATACATTTAATTGCGAGCATTGAATAAACATTGCTTTATATTCAATTTATGATAAAAGTGAAATAATTATTAGAAAATAAATTAATATAATTCACTTTTTAATAAAGGTAAAACTGTGACTAAATATACTTATCAAAAGTTGCATAATAAAGTATTATGTGATTACTTAAAAATATAAAAAGCAAGCAAATAAACAACATATGCATTTCAAATCGAATGTAAAATAAATTTTACATTCAATTTGGTTCGGGTCACAGGTCCAGAATTTAGTTAAATAAATATTCATTCACTTAACATTAGATATTGTTTTAAAAAATTAGTTAGCATACAAGGATTAATTTGAAGTTACACCTATTATTAAAATATTTGCACCTATTGCTGTAATTAAATATTACATATAAGTTTGTTAATTGCTACATAATATGCAACATAACTATATTATGTTATTATTTATATTATGTACTTCAATTACATACAATTCTTCATATAAGTTTGGTATTTTACACAGCTATTTTATATTCATTATTAAAATTTTCTGCGTATACTGTACGTAACTTTATGTTCAATTTACCTCTTAAAATACGAAAAAAAAGAAGAGAGAGAACAAAATTGTTAGAAAAGAAATTAATCTCATTTACTATATAATAATATTGAAATAATATTAAATACATTAATCTAAAATTTTTTTAATAAGTTATGACTATTTTTTAATATTATAAGCAAAACAAATAAAATAAATATTCATTTTGTAATGTTTAGTTATGTAAATATATTTAATATAGTTAATTTGTCAAAATGGTTTAAGTGGGTTACTTTTCATAGTAAAAAAATGTACGTATCCTAAATTCATAAACAGATAAGAAAAGTAACTGAAAAGTCTTCCCGAAGAATCCATCATATTCGTCTTAAGAAAGAGAAAGAAATAAAACTAGTTTCAACCACAATAGAAAACCCCAAGGTTATCTAACTCCAAAGCTTTTCAAACAATGCAAAGAGGCCCTCTCCTATCTCTCATCCCTAAAAAAAAACTTCATGAACTAAAACTTGCAATTCTATTGGTAAATGAAGAGAAAGCTTTATAGAGGATTCGTTTGCACTCTGTTCGCAAATTGTTTTAGTATTTTTTTCATTTTTCTTTTCTAACAACAAATTTCATAATTGAAGAAAATAAATACGATTCATTTATTTTAGAAGCTTGAAAGGTATAGATTCCGGGATTTTGATAAAAAGCAGATTTCTAGAAGATAACTCATTTTCAATATTTCACCTCCATTAATAATTTAAAATGTATAATAAAAAAAGATCGCAGAAGGTTAGAGAAAACTATGTAGTTTCAAATCTGAAAGAATTTATTTTCAAAATATCAAATACAAACAAATTACCCATTACCAAACAATGCACCCATAGAAAAGTAATTGGCTACTGGCATGGAGAGAGGAAGTATAGCTTCCTCGTCATTGTCCATTATTCCTAGTGGCTTAATTGATACATTTAATATTTTAATTACAGTAAAATTAACAAAATAGAGTTGGTAATAAAGTTATTAATCTAATAAAGTTAATATTTAATTATAGCTTATTTTAAGGGGTCACAGTACCTTTGCAACAATTTTTTAAAATAAAGGTATAATCATTCATTTTCAGGATGCTTTACATGCTCATTTAAGTTATAATCAATAATTTATCTTCAAAAAATGATTAAACTGCTTAATTTTTTTTAAATTTTAAAAAAAGTCGAAAAAATTCTAAATTTTTAAATCCCTAAGGCTTTTTTGTTTTAACATATTTTCAAAAAAAGTTTTTTTCATAGTGCTTGCAATATTTATCTTAACAATTTTGTGCATTCATTTGTTGATATATCAATTAGAATATTTTTTATAGATTATTTTGTAAAAAAGTAGAAAAAAAAGGGTAAAAACTCCTGTTAGGTATATATAACATGCCGTAAAAGTTGTAATACCTCATAAAATGCATATTCCATGCACAGTTTAAATAAGAGTATTATACTCTAGATAAAAAAGTTTACTTCAAAGCTTTATCTTAAATAGAAAAAATTCCTTAGGGATTTAATTAAGATTAAGACACAAAATTATCATCTATGCGAAAAAGCACTTTGAAGTCAGACTGCTGAGGAAGTTTCTTTATTAGAACAATTTAAAATCATTCATAACTTTTTTAAAAATGTAGATAGAGAGATGAATTTTTTTCTGTACATTTGAAATAGTTTGAAGTTTTATTATAAGCAATAAAAAAATTTTTGGTATTTTTGTCATTTTTTGGGTACTGTGACCCCTTAAATATTTATAATACTAAGTAAATGGAAGTTTTTTATAATTAAATGTAGTACAAAGTTTATGTTTTGTTTTCGCTTCAGTATCATAAAAGAACATCATAACTGAAATGAAAAAGAAAGTGAAGGAATATTGCCTCTGCAATATAATATAACTCTTTAAGAAATTATAATTTTTGAAAAACTTTTCCCACTTTAAAATTTATTCTAATATATAAATTGGTTTAAGCTTATTACTTAATTTATTAGCTAGTGTATTATTCAGTTACCTTATTATTATAATTATATAACATTTTGATATTTTGCCCCTATTCCTTTGTAAGAGCAGAGCAATTATAATCAAATATTAAAAATTATGTAACAAGAAAAAAAAACAAAATTTAAAGTTATTTTCAAATTAATTTTTAAAAAAGAAACGCGATTTAATAATAACAGTTTTAAACCAAAGAGAAACTACTCTTATGCTAAGTAAAAAAATACATGTACGTAAAATGTATAAATGCACCTATACACAGTGGATAACGTGTAAATAAGAAATAATAAGTGATATTTGTAATAATAATAATAATAATAATAAGCGTATAATAATAATAAAAAGATAAAGAAAAATACCTGGCAATTTTCCATCAGGGCCTTTGAGTTTAGGGTTGTTTCCAAGTAGTCCTGAAACGAATTATTTTTTAAAAATCTAAAATTTGTAAAATACATATTAAATCAAATATATAAGTAAACATATAATTTATGACACACTTCATTAATTTTAGAAATTATTCAACTTACTGTTTTAAATATTCCCTTTACGATTTAATTTAATATCCTGTTTGTTACAATTATTTTTCAATTTTTTATGTTAAAATATATCACTTGCGAAATTTTCGATTACAATGTCTTGCAATCAAAAATTTAAAGAAAAAAAAATTCTCAAATTATTTTCAATATACATTTCTATTACAATTAGCAAAATCTGTACATTTCCGAAAATCTGAGGATCATATATAAATTAACCCTCTAAACGTTGAGCTCCTGGGAAAAATATCACAGAAATTTCTCCGCTTCTATTGAATAACATTGGTAAACCGGTTTCTTATGCAGAAAAGTTTGCATCTAAAAGTTCTGAAAATGCCAGGATTAACACTCAGAAGGTTAAAAAAGAAATATATATAAAAATGCACTATACAATGATGGAAGAGACACTTTCAGTTTTTGATATATTTTTTCTTGATTTCTCAGGAAGTACTTAAGTGATTATTTTGTTTCTTTAGAGGTGTTTATTTCATGCGATTTTCCATACTTTACAATAAAATGTAAAGCTTTCAGTGATTTGAGAGATCTACTATAAAATACGAAGGGAAACAAGTATGTTTAAACATCCTGTTCTATAAAATCAAGCATTAAGCTTGCAACTTGTATCGATCACTTCAGTTTTTATTTTTAATAGCTGCATAAAGTTGCGCATACCTGGAGTGAATATTTATGAGGATATGGACATTTTTATGAAAAAAATTTCATCTTAAGTTTTTTTCAATTAAATACAAAATTATTGATTTAAAATTTTAAAAAAAAACTCGTTTAAAACTGCGCAAGTTATGAGCATTAAAGCTAGTTCTTGTTCTAGCAATGAAAAAATTTCAAAAAGTTCATTTCATAATTTTGTATTGAATCGTATTTGGAAATTAATAAAAAAAAATATTTGGATATCTTAAAAATTTCAAAGGTTTCAAGCAATTTTTTAAGGAGATTTTGTACTTTTCAAAAGAAGGCTAAAAACGATGAGGGTTTTTTAACAAATTTCATTTTGTATCATTAGACAAAATTTAATAATAAGCGATAATAATTTAGAATAAACGTCCAGAAACTAAACTTTGATGGTATAGAAAAAGAAAAGATCCTGAAAAGAACATACTTTTGTGGAGGGGGATCCCCCACTATGATGGTCTTATTTTTTGTGTAATATTACATCTTATTTAATATCTTATTTAACATTCCAAGATGAAATTTGCAGATAAGCCCGCATCGATTTGGGCTTTATTTTAAGAAGTACATAAACTACTAAGAAAACAGCTGGAAAATTTTTAAATTTTAAAGATATTCAAGTACAGCTTTTATATAATTATTTCCTAAATACGATTCCCTACAAAATTCTCAAATTACTTTTAAAACTTTTTCTGCATAGGCACCGTGTAAAAGAACTAGGTTAAATATTCATATCTTACGCAGTTTTTAACGATTTTTTTATTTAAAATTTTAAATCAACAATTTTGTAATTAATCTCAAATTTCGTCAGAAATTTGTTTAATTTCTTTGGGTATTTATGAAGTTATAGCCAAAAAAAAAAAAAAAAAAACACAAGGCGGAAAAATTAATACATATATTATGCATATATATTAATCAAATTGTACCAATAAACCTTTATTAATGAAAAAAATATTTGCAAAGATTTATTAGGATTTTTACGTGCTGAATCTATCGGTATTTAACACATGGTGAATAAACAGTTACTAACCTGGAATCTTATTCAATGGTGTTTTGAATAGGACTTTAAGTGGTTGAGAATCAAGACTGCCTGTAAAAGAATGAACAAAATAAATTTTACAATACAGTATATATCTTTTGTCATAAAATACAGCAATTTTTTTATTGGAAATTATTGTTTTAATTAATTAATTTCGGTTTGTGATCTTAACTTTTCTTCATAAATACATTCTTTAATGAAGAAAAGTTATTCACCCTTAAATTGTAAAACAGTTTTTTATAATTCACATCTTACATTTTAAGGAGCACAATTCTTTTGATACTCAGCAATAATGAAAAAAAAGCATCTGTCAATGATATTTTTTATTTGTTTTTTATTATTGTAAAAATAAATTTTTAACTAAAGAGAAAATATTTATATAGTATTTTTTATACATGAATACTAGAGCTAATACAGGTAATACAGCAACTAATACAGGTAATTAATGGAGTAACAGCATACACAAAATTTTTGAAGATGCAGATATTATAAAATTGCATCAAATATATATTTTTTTAAATTTGAGCATCCTTAACGTAAATGAATATGTAACGCTTAAACTATCTGTTTGATAAAATGTTCTTATAATTCAAATTATTTTTTAAATTTTTACCTGTGAACGTAATAACTAGAACTTCTTGCGGGATCAACGGACTTTTGTAATATTCGCATAATCACTTTTCGTGTTTGTTCAATCTTAGTTCAGTCACTTTTCAAAAATTAAAACAACTACACTAAAAAATTTATCAAGCATTGAATTATGTCTTTTGAAGCAGAGATAATGTTTTGTGACTTTACAGCCACATTAAGGATTAAGGATAAACGATAGTGAAAAAAAAAGGTTTTAAGTTTATGCTTTCAACAAAGATGTTACATGTGATATTAGTCGCCAGCTAGCATTTCCCAACTTATAATAACAGGTGACGAACAATCAATAAAATTGCATCGAACTTTCTACGCCATACCTAACAATTCATAGTTCTCGTTCAGTTCTGTAAGTTACTGTGATTAGTTACTGGAATCTATTTCGGACTAAATGCAAACGCTTTGCATTCTTAGTTGGAAAAGCTGCTAAAAGTGAATGACAGTTTATTTTTTAAAAACTTAAGTTATTAAAAAGGAAAAATGGTTAGAAATTAAGAAAAAAGCATATGCAGACATCGTAATATATAAGCATTTTTTTCTAAAAATAAACAGGGAAAAATTTAGCATATAATTAAAAAACTCATAAGGGAGGTTTTTAACGAGTCATACAATCTCATTTCCATTAAAAAAGAAAATTCTTATTTCGATATTAGGAAGATTGCGTCATTTTTTGTTTTGTCTCGGCAATAGTTAAAATAGTATTAATTTTGGTTGATTTTAGGCATTGTTAGGCATTGTATTAAATTGCCATAATTTATACATTGAATGACAGCAACATATTCAAAATAAAAATATTTTTAAAATTAATATAACTTATTTTAACTTAACAAGCTTTGCGAGTTACTTATTGAAATAATTATTAGCTAATTACTTGGTACGCTGCTAAATGGTATAACTCCTAATGGTCCTAGTTTAAACCTAATGATCTTCCTCAATGGAACGGAAGCAAGTTGATCTGAAAATTCAAAAGAAACAACTCAAATATACATATAATGCAAACAATTTTGTTAAAAATGCTTGTGAAAGAAAAATGAAAAGGATTCAGTTTAATAAATTTAATAAATTCTTACCGGGTACGCCACTTGAACTTGCTCCAGGTAACAAACCTAAAAATAGTAGAGTTATCTTATTAAATATCGACATTATTTTGGCCAAACAATTTCTTATATATATTGCTCTTTTTTCGTCATTAAAAATTAGTAAAAGAAAATTAATCCTTGATATAAGTTAGTAAATTAATATAAAATCAGTAACTACTTTCATTGCTAACTTTTTATGAAAACAGCTATCGAAAATTTACCATTTTACTCAACTACTAAATATTTTATGAAAAGTTAAAATAGCTTTGAAATTTATTATGTTTTAAAAATCTAAGATTCTATAAAGAGGAAGTATTGAAACATTCTTCCGGTTTAATTGCATTCAGTATATCTTTAGGTTGGAGAATTTCAGCATTTAGCAGAAGAAACTTAAATGCTTAAATTATGATTACTAGTCCAAATATTGTCATGAGAAACATTTGCTGAACCTTAATTTTGTTTATATCTATCCTATTCTATCATATCTATCCTATTCTCCTACTCTTGCAGAAATTTCGTAAATTCCTCAATTTAACTTTTATCTAGAAATTTGATAAATATCCCAGCTATAATTGTAAGTAATAAGTTCTTAAATCTTAGTAAAATTTATGCGAACTGGAGAAAAATATGCTAACTGAAGTATATTGAATGTTTCAGACATTTTATTATTCATTTTATTAGAAAACGATCAAATTATTCAAATTCGAAAGTATATTTAATTGCGATATTTATTTTCAATGGATAATATCAATGTTTTCTTAAAAGCTATCCGCGATCCAAAGTGATAGCTCTAAAGTAAAGGAGTTCCTATTTAAGAAGATTATTGTTATAAAAATTTTAAGGGCGCAATATACTAGCCTAAATGTTCAAATGCAGATAGTTTTTTCCTTGAGAAAAATCTGCGATGAAAAATGGGAAAAATAAGATGAAAAAATGGCTATGAATGGCCATAAAAATGGCTATTTCAAATCAGAATTGGATTACTATAATAAATTTCAGTCTTAATTTTAACTTGAAACAATCATCAACACAGATTCTGTCTTAACCAATAATCTAAACAAATCATTACCAAAGATTTTGACTCAATATGAGTGCATATATTGGTTGAGATGCTTACCTAAGCTATTAATTGTACGACGGAATTTAAGTAAGTGGATTGTTTTAAACAAATTCAGATATTATGCACTGGTTTGTAAACATCAATCTAGCAATAGTAAACTACTTGTAATCTCATTTTCAGACAATTAAAGACACCCTTAATGAGAACGTTAGTAAATGAAGGTTTTAATGAAGACACGATTACTGAATTATCGTTAGGTTATGTGGCCATTGTATTGTCATAATATTGGACATTATTTATTTAATTGTATGTGCTCTTAACGGTAAAACAATTATAACAATAGAGAATAATAATTAAAAAAATATTCTTAGCATATTTGTCAAAAGTGGTGCCAATATTGAATGTGTGAAAGAGCTTATTTTAAAGCCTAAATTTGCGCAGTTTGAACTATTACTTGCGAAGGAAATTTTTCTAAATCAATAATATGTTTTCACATTAAATGAAAATATTTTGTCAATCAAATAAAATTTTCTATTTTTGGTCAATAATTGTTTCTTAAATTAAAAATTTAATTGTTAATACAACAAAACTGACCCGTAGAAAATATTACACATCGCCATTTGGTATCATTGTAACAAGCAATTTCTCAAAAAAATCAGCAAGCTATCAAAATTCGTTTCGCGAAAAGAATATTAAGTTTAAATCATTGCCTCTGATTTGCTTGATTGTCATATGTCATAATATTTTACGCCCTTTTTTAATAAAACAGAATGAAGGAAATATTATTATTAATTCACTTATGATTAAAAACTGTTAAAATGAAACTCTACTGATATGAAAAATATGTTTTTCTATTTTAAAAAACCTTCAGTACTTTATCACAGTACATTACATTCTCTGAGTGTCTACTCTTAACATGTTACTATCACAAACATGTACTTAATATTATGAATAAATTTAAGCCAGGTATTCAATTTATGTTTTAACAGGAAAATAACAATCCTTTACTTTTTTTATACATTTTATTACTCCCAATTATTATGAAATCATCACTATTTGAATTGGAAATCATTTGCCGCTTTTCTCCACTTATAACCTACTTTCTATAACAAAATTAAACGGTAAATGCCGTAAAACTCATTTACCGTGTATCTGAAAATTGTTCTTTATGTACTCCTCTTAATTTGAAACATCTTCATTTTTAGACTATAACTGTTAAACACGAATATTCTTGGAATATCATCAACTAAATAAGTTTTAGTAAATTTGATTTTAATGCTAACAAACTAAACTTCACTAAACATAAGGAACATATTGCTAACAATAGTAGAGGCATTTTTCATATTTTAAAACCACTCCCTCATCTCTGACTCTTTCATCATCAGAGCTCTGGAAGTCATAACAGATTTTGAAATAAAACTATAACTTCTTTAAAGACCTTTACTGTATACTATTTACAATATGTTTAGAAATATAATTTTTTTGAATTTTTTTCCTGCAATAAATAAGTTTTTCACCTTACCCAACAACTTATCTGCTTACATTTGCTTGATTACATTATTCAAATACTTGTAAATCTTTGCTATTCTTATTCTTATTGGGACTTGCTGATAATTTATTTTGTTTGCTTATTTCAGCGTTTTTCCTTTAATTTTACCTATTAAAAAAGAAAGTCTCTCATCACAGAACCAAAATAATTTTATGCATGGTCATCTGTTCATGTGGTCCTCATGTGTCATAATTTGTGCTCTATTCACGTTTAACGCGCTTAATCTCATTGAGATAATTTATTGTGAGGAATTGTTCTTGGGTAAGGCAAAACACGCTTAAAAATTACCTTTTCTTCTGATATCGACATTTTAAATTATTTACCTGGTACTTTGCCCAAAGGAAGATCCTTAACTTGACCTATTGGCAGTGATCCAAGTGGACCTAAAAGAAATAAAATGTGCACGGATTTATGAGAAATTCATACTTAAATTGTACTACCATCATTATTACTTCCCAACAAGTGAATCAGATTCAAATTGCTTCAACTACACTCTACTATATAAAACAATTTACTACAACCTCACATAATATATTTTGACTACATAATAAAAGTAAAATAGTTGATGAACCCAGTTATTGAGAGGCGAAACGTCATCAAGTGTCACTTGTTTAGGGAATCTTTACAACTTCAAAACAACAAATTAAGGCAAAGAAACTTTTTGTAACTTTCACAAACTATACAAAATAAAAATATTATTTAACTAATTTATTATTTCAGAAAATTTTTTAAAAAATGTAATGTGATCTGGCTTTTGGAACAAGATATGTTACAGAACCATGTGGAAAAACTTTAGTTGAAAAATGAATCAAAATAAATAAATTCCTTCATTAACTTAAGAGCGACAATATCGAGCTTTGTTCACTGTTGTACATTAAGAAACTTTCTTATACATCTAATTGATGTTTCAAGAGACTAAACACCTACCTTTTTTGTGTGTTAGTTGCACTAATTGCGAAAACATCTCTCAGTATGACATATTTTTTTTTTTAAATTTGAGCATTTTTAATTAATTTGAAATTTTACATTAATTTGAATGTTTTTCAATTATTTTCAAGTTTTTTAATTAGTTTAATTTGGTTTAATTAATTTAAAATTTTTTAATCAATTTGAATTTTCTTTAAATTAATTTTTGCAATGAAATTTGATAATCCGTAAATGTTTACTAAAATCAGAAAATCAGAGGGATTTTAAAAAGAGTGACGTAAACGTCTATAAATAAACAAACTGTGTCAGTTTTTTAAAGTGTTTTGGTTAAGAATCGAAATTAAAAAATTAGTTCTTTGAATTCTTTGCAGTTAGAGAAAATATATAAAAAGAACATTTATTATAAATGCTGAAATTAATAGTGTAAAACTCGAAATTTCTTGCTACATAGATTAGAATCGTACATCGAATCGTGCATAGATTATGAATCTATTGATGAACTTTTTCTTGTTAGCAAGACTTTATTTAGATATAAAGATTTTCTGTATTTAAAATTTCTTTAGAAGGAGAAAAGTTAACAAAATTGGATGCATCATATCTAATATAAATATATTTTCAAATACACTTATTTTTCTATGCTCTGTTTTAAAAGATTATCTAATTTGGAAAATAGTATAATGAGAATTTTTTTATTACAATTAATCGTCGGCTAGAATGTGCTTATGTGCTTGATAAATATGCATAAAGAAGTGTTAGCTTGTTAAAGATTTGATTTTTTGAAATTATTACCTAATTTGCTCATGGGGAAAGAACCAATTGGGAATACTGATATACTGCCTACGCTGCTAGCTGGAACATCACCTAGATAAAAAATAGTTATGAGTTAAACTCTTTGCATTCTTAAAACATGAATTATTACATTTTGCACCAAATTATCATATACTGTTTGTATAATCTATATTTTTAATGCTTTTTTTATAAAAAAATATTTTTTTACAAATTAGTGTTATATTTTATTAGTCTTATATTTTTGCATTAAAAATTGAAGTCATTACAAGTAAAAATAAAATAGTTATAATATCAATGTTTTGGCAATACGCCAAAAAGTATTTTTATTTAATAATTGGATTGTTACCTGGGAATCCTGCTGGGTATTGACCTAAAATGAAATGGAAAATTTAAAATTTTCTTTTATGCAAAAGAAAAATAAAATACTGACAAAAAAGATTATTATGAAATAACAGATATATATATATATAGATAATATGGCCGTAAATATCATGTTTCAAAAGAAAGTGCATGAGTGAATTTTTTACGCAAATTTAATGTTTGAAATTTGACCTAAATGTATATGGAATTTGATCTAAAATAATAAAAAATTACATAATGGAAAAATTTAGCAAATATTTTCCTTTTTCTTCGTGGTTTGCTATATATTTAATCTGACATAAATTAATTTACAATTGAATAGCGACTCGCATAATAACTGATTTTTATAGCAACGCAATAAAGTTAATGCAATTAAGCAAACCAATTTTCGTTTTGGAAATATTAACGATATCAAAATTTGTATGTTTTTTTTTGTTCCACAATTGATTTTTAACAATTTATTATGGTTGCATTTATTGTAAATTTGGCATGGTAACAAAATTATATTCCGGCATAGATTTTGAGTGCCATTACAAGAAAAAAAGAATTGCTTCACGTTACTTACAGTGTATAACAGTATGTAACAAACGCTTGAAAAAGATACTTGAAATTTTTTTGGAAAAACAGTTTATATCGAATAAAATAATAAAAATATGCTATCTGCATTTACTATTTTTTATATGACTCAAAAAATACAAATCAAAGCAATATTTTTAAATCTTAACTTAAACTTTTAATCATCTGATGTGATTTACATTTATTGTAACCAAGTATATGCAAACTAATTCAGTATAATCTTACCTGGTCTTCTGCCACCTATAAGCAAACAAAATAACTTTACTTTTTAGTCTAATGAAGAAAAAAAAATGGAAAGTTTTGTTTACATTAGAATATTAAATTAGTAAAAAGTTTATATCGCTATTAAAAGTTAACTTATTTGTTGAAATACCTTTCCAAATATTAATTAAGTCAAGATATTGTCCCAGTAATTACATTATGAATATCATCATTAATTGTATGCTTAATTTTATTTACACATATTCAAGCATGTTTTTGCTTAATTCCCGTAAAAAAATATTTTCGAACAGATTTAAATAACAAATTGTCGTGACTAGTCATAAAATAAGTAAGTTCAGAAAGTTGAAGAATTTAAAACTATGCATTTCTAAAAAAAACTAAAATTCTCCTTATAAATGTATTGTTTCTGAAAAAAGCATATAAAAGGCGAATAAATGAAATCGTTTATTTATTTTTCATTGCAATGTATCGTATGAGTATGAAGGACATAATGAATTCGAAGAAAATATCTAATTATCTTTATTTATTTATTATTATAAAAAACGTGAATGTGTCTCGTTGCATAAATTATGTTTATGAATTTTTTTTAATAATTACCTGGATAAATCATTCCTGGAAGCTGGACTGTACCGGGGGCTTTTCCTAAATACGAAATTAAGAGTATTACCAAAACATTCCAAATTTATATTTTTGTAATTTTATAATACCAAAACATTTTTCAAAAAATGTTCTAAGTGACGAGATTACTTCATATAATGTAGATTTTATATAATATCTGAATTAAATTTTAACTTACAATTTTTTTAATAAAAAATTGTTGGGAAACATTCTTTTTCAGCTGGATATCATAAATTTTTACATTTAAAGTTTTTATTTTTAAATTCATAATTATTTATTTCTTGCCAATGGTTATTAGGGTACTGCAATATCTGAGAAAAAAATATTATGACCATAGTTATATTTTAAAAATTAAGTTAAGTATGATAATAATGTGTATAACTAGAATTAAGTAAGAATATACTATAGTAAATCTTTTTAATAAATAAAAATTACAATTTTGATGTTACCTAATTATAAATGCTTTACAATGTGCAATGGATAATAATTACTTAGTTGTAGAAAATGCATACTTAAAGGTAGTTTCGATTAACGCATTCATCCGAAAGAGTTCACAAGAATTTTTCTTATTGATAGTGCCAAATATTGTTAAATAAATTCTAAAAAATATTTTGCTTTATTTTGTTATAGGAAAACAATTTGGTTTATTAAAAAATGAATAATAGTAAAAAGAGAAAAAAATCATGCTTGGAAATTACATGACTTTCGAATAAGACAACGAATTCTTTCGATATTTTTCAAATTCTAAATAAATATTTTCTTAAACTAAAGCAATTAATATTATAGAATCTAAAGGCATAAAATAATGTTATCAAGTATGCGTTTGATTTTGTCTGATATAGATTAATTAAAGAAAACCGAATACATAAAATAATTATGATTTAATATATAATAACTAGATTTAAAAAAATGGACACCAATTTACTATCTAAAAACATTACATAATATCAAGGAATTCTGAAGGTTATAATTCTGAAGGAAATAAAAGGTTTTAATATTTAATTATTTATTACTCATATTTAGATTTGAATAATATACTCTACCATTTCCTGGATAGTAGCCTGGGAATGGATTGAATCCTGGGTCAACGATCGGGCCATTTCCTCCTAAATAAATTGAAAAAGAATAAAATAATTAAAATTGAAAATTTATTTTAAAATGCTTCAGTCATGCTGATTATGCATGTGCATGTCTAATATTCAATATTTAATCTTTAATTTAAAACAAGTTTTAAGAAACAATAGTTAGTTTGTTCTATTTGATGCCCAATTTAACATCCTTTCATCAACTGAAAATATTACAATCCCATTTTAGAGTTTGAATAATACAAGATATTCAGAGGACAATATAAAATGTAATTAATTTATTAATTTTTATTTGATCATGTTTATTGCTCTAAAATATTTAAGTACAATTTTAGTTCATTGGTAAAGTAATGTATGCCAGAGATAAATAAAATTTTATTTCAAAAACTGCCGAAATTTGCTTTTATACATAGTAATTTATATTCAGTGTACATAGTAATTTATTATTCAGTGGAATTAAAAGAAAGTGTACCGAATTATTAAGAAAAACAAGTGTTTATGTTTAATCTAATGCATTTTACCTGGTAAGAAGCCTGGATAGTTTACTGGACCAGGTCCACCTAAAATTAGATTATATGCCATTAGGTTATAGTGAAAAATAGGTTTATATTTTAGTCAAGAATATCCATAGTGAAAATAAAACAATTTGTCTTTGTCTGGCCCCTTTAATCATTGAAAACACAAAAAAACTAACATTTATTTTGATATAAGAAACAAATTTGCGTGATGTTTGAATAATTACAGGACACCAAAGTCAATATTTTATCTTTTATATACAGCACATTTAAATAATATATTTTATTAAAGATAGTTTTATTTTACACTATAATGAATTCTTGACTTTAAAGTGAAATTAAAATCTAAATATATTACCTGGGAAAAATGGTAATCTAGCTTTGCCTAGAAAACAAAGAATGTACTAATGTACTAAATATATTTAAATAAATATATATTTTAGAACATACCAAATAAAATATAATTTAGCTATTCACAGTTTCAGGATTTGAGCAAAAATTATACATTGATAATATCATCGTAGTTTTCAAATAATCAAACATATCGATTCAATTTAAAAAAAAATTATCATAATGGCCTTCATTAGTTTCAAATTTATAAAATCATAAATAATAAAAATATGGTTTTTAAAGAAAAGCATTTAGTACTTCAGACAATGCAAAGACATTAATACAATATACTTTCATCTTTTTATTTTTATGACATTACAGTATTAAATATTTCGAATTTGAATTTCAATAGAAAAACTGGTTTCGAATCTGGTAGTTGAATTTTTGTCCAATATAGTTTTGCATGAATAGTTCCACTTTAATTTTTTAAAACTCTTATAGAGAAAAACAAAAAAAATTAAGTTCTCAATATAACCTACTCAGTAGAGTTGAAAACATGCAAGGCAAGGATCTTATAGGTTTCTAAGAAAAGTTCTAAGAAAAATTGCCCCCTTTTGAGTTTTGTAAGTAAAACATTAACTTTACCAACAAAAAAAAGAAGAAAAACTAAACAAACCAAGCAAATCATATTTGTATTATGACACATGCATAAAATCAATTAAGTTTATGCGTACCAAAGAAATGGTATGTGACCAAACTTTCCATCAAAAACTTATGTGATACATTTTACGAAATAAATTTTAATATGTTACCTGGCCTGTCACGTGGTTTAGGAATAGAGCTAATCGGCGTAGATGCAAGTTGTCCTACGGGTTTTGATGCAATCTCATCTAAAAAAACAAACAAATTGTGTTTCTTTTAATATCTGAATGTTGATTTAAAAAATTTAAACTTGATTATTTATTTATAAAAAAATAAAATTAAGTACCTGGTAAACTGCTCCATGGGAAATTGCCAAGAGGACCAAAAGAAATAGACGCAAAACTGCTTAATGGAGTAGAACCAAGCTCATCTAATATCGTAATCAAACAATTTTATTATTATTATTATGAGCACTTTTTTAAATATATTTACAATAAATATTTACTATTTGTATAAAAATTTCAAATATGCAAAAATTTTATAACAATCAGGCTTAATAATTGAAAATATTTTATTTTTAAGTATTATCACCTTTCATTTTTAAGTAATTATACTGGAAATTGAAAATATTTTATTTTTAAGTAATTATTACCTTTTATTTTTAAGTGATTATACTGGAAATTGAAAATATTTTATTTTTAAGTATTATTACCTTTTTATTTTTAAGTAATTATTACTGGAAATTGAAAATATTTTATTTTTTGAGTAATTATTACCTTTTATTTTTAAGTAATTATTACTGGAAATTGAAAATATTTTATTTTTAAGTAATTATTACCTGGTAAACTACTTATTGGTGTGGAGTCTAATTCCTTCAATGGAACATTCTTTAGAGTATCTGTAATGAAAGAAGCATGAAAATGTATAATATATTTTTTTAAAGAAAAAAAATGTATTTTATAAAGAGCTTTTCCTCCTTATGAGCTTAAAGAAATAAAGGAATAATAATAAAAACACGATAATAATAAAAAAATAATAAAATAATTGCATTTATGCAAAAACTTTCAATTTTAAGAACTCATTAAAAGTTAAAAGAAAACTTAAAAAACCAAAGAAAAACACTTTAAAAATTTTTAATAAATATAAGAAATAATTTCCAAAATAATTTTTTTTAATTTGGTTTTAAAGTGATTAATATGCTTACAGAGTTAATTTATTTAAAAAGGTAAATAAGATTATTACAAAACTGTGCTCATTTTCTTAAAAATTTTACTGATTTATAAGTTAAGATAATTTGTTAAATCTGTTTAATATTTTCTCAAGACATGTTTAGATTTGCAAAGGTTTGCAGATAAGAAACTGATTACTACTGTACAATTACAAAAATATTTAAAATGAATTATAATATTCCATAATAAACCAAACAGTTATTTTAGTATTTAGACATTCGTGTACCTGGGATCTTCTTTAATGGAATATGACCAAGTGGTTCGAAGTTTAATGAACCAATATCTCCTACTGTAAGTGGACTTAGTTGATCTGAAAAAAAATGTATTAATTAAATTTATTATTTGAAGTTAGATAAAATGTTAAAATATTTCTTTAATATTATTGAGTTTTATAAATTTTCTACATGTGTTAACTCTTATGAAATTTAGTATTTTTTTAAATTTAATAATTATTATTATTTATTCAAACTAATATCGTATTTCAAATATAAGATAGTAAAGAAACTTAAAGCGTTCTTTCAAATAATTACTTTCGGTATCAGTGAGATAAAGTATTTTGTGTTAAAGAATTAACTGTGTACTTCGGTACATGCAGATAATGATAACATATATTAAGGACATAAATGCATTTAAGTAAAGACATAAAATCATATTTATAAATTTTATAATCAGTTTGATGATTTAGATGTAAATCATTCCCATACTTGCATTAAAGTCAGATTTAAAAAGTTCATCTGAGTTTATACGAGAATGATGGTAAGAAATTCATTACAAATGCTTTAAATTAAATGTATCATAATACTTGTAACACGGAGGAAAAAGTTTGGTAAAATTACCGTAATGTATATTTAAAAGGAAATTTTTTTTTAATTTTAGTGAAAAAAAACAGGTATTTGAACTATTCATCTAGTATTTTTTTTAGTTCACATTTAGTTGAGCCCTTATTACCACATATTTAGTAAAAAGTAAATTTTACCGAATAAACGATTTTTTTACCATGCTCGAAATTATCATAATAAAATTACCAAATTTTAAAATATTTACAAAACTTTACTACATTTTCCAAACTTTATCGCATTTTATAAGACCATATTTCATTTATAATTTCTCCAAAATCATTTTGAAAGAATAGCAAACACTTCGGTAAGAAATATTAAGAAATGGAGTCAGAAATACGATAAATTTTATCATATTCTGAAAGTTTTAGTCATACTTTTATTTCTCAGTGTTGAACATAGAAATACTTTTTTAAAAATCTAATGAAATATTTATAGTATTAAAACTGGTGCGTTAACCATATCATAGAACCAATCAGACAAATAGATTAAGCAGTTCTGTAAAATAAATATAATTTTTTTAAAATTTTTTATTAATAATTTTAATATATGATTAGCAATATTCACTTTAATTTAATTTGTCATTTTTACCTTGCTTTTTCTTGACAATTGAATATTCTATTATTTTGTTTTTTTATTTATAGTATCACAGAATTATATTGAATATATATTGCATATATTACCTGGAATATCACCTGAACTTCTAGGAACAGAGCTAAATTGACTTGGTGGAAGACCTTTAAGTAAGCCTGTAATAAAATTTAAAAAGTTATCTGAGTTTCTACGAGAATGATGGTAATAACACAAAGCCAATCACAGAAGACTTGCGGTTAGTAACGTACAAGACAGCGGAACAAAATTGGAAACGCATGAGTGTGAAAAAGTAATAATTTTTAATAATGCTGTCTGCTGAATTGTTACAACTAAACTTACTGCCTAAAGTTTGTTGAAATTTTTTATTTCATTTGGAGTATGTCTAATGATGGTGTACCAGTTTTTAATTGTTGTCCATGCATTTTTATTGGCCGGAAAATCACGTGGTAGGATCCAGTTTTTTTCTCATTCAATTCCATTTGTTTTGGTTGTCATCAGCATAAAACTAATATAAGTCGTAAAGATATTGTTTTGCTATAAAGATTTTTGTATCCCTAATTTACAGTTTTTTTTCCTGTACAGCTATTATTACGTTTTTAACTAAATTCTCGAGTTTAAATCTAAGAGAATAGTTGTATTTTTTATTATTATTATAATGTAATTCTGCGCTACATTTTCAGATAAAGTTAGTAAGAAAGGTTGTCAAATCTTATTAACCGTCTTACAATTATTATTGTTGTGCAAATAACGTTGATATATATTGTAATAAGTTACAGTTAAAGAGATCTGTTAAATGATTTATAACTTAATGATCAGCTTCATACGCAATGAGATGCAAACAAAATTAATATTAAATATATCCGCCCATTTGGTTAATTTTAAATTTTTAACTATTAAATTTTTTAACTATACAAAACAGTCAATGCTAGTGCAAAGTTATTTTAAAATGCTAACAGCAATGCTATTTATTAATTTTTTTAAAAAAAAGTTCTTTTATTATTATAGTATTAGATCTTGGAGCAAGGGACAGTGAATTGTCATATTTCGTGAGAATTACCCATTTATATGTATATATAATCACAAAAAAATAAATTTAATAGTTTTAAATATATCTTTATATCTTCTACTATTGAACAGTTAGTTTTGGATTCTACTAAAATTTCGGTTATTTGTTTTATTGTGTTTAATAAGGCTTTCTATGAAATGGCTTCATATTTTTGTGTCTTTCAATATCTTTCTTTTCCATAAAAATGCTTTTCGAAATAATGCTTTTCACCCTAAAAATTTATTATTCAAAATAACATTAAAGATTTTTTTTACCTGGTAACTTCTTCAAGGGCAACTTGCTCAGTTGATCAAGAGGCATATTTGCAACTGAATCTAAATTATGGAAGAATAAAAAAATATAATTATTATAAAATAAACATCACACTTAATTAGTTCACTTTTTTATGTTTTATTTTTCTCAGAATTACAATGAGAGGAAAAACTAAACTACAATCTAAATAAATAAAAAAATATACACAAATTTTTTTATATTAATAAACTGAATGGGAATTAGTACAACTACAATAATTTCATAACAAATGCATTTTATAACATGCGCTTTATTGTGATCTTAAAAATCATTACTTTCAACTGTTTTTTTATTGTCTAATACAATTGAATTAACTTTTTCCCATTATGATCTTAGGAATCATAAAATATAAATAATGTATTTCTCACGCTGCTCAATATGAATTACGTAATATTGGATTATCCTTGCTTTAGAATTATGTTACATTAGAAATGTATCTCATTATACTCTTAAGTTGTAAAATTTGTAATTATAAAATGCTTTTATGCTTGACTAAAACACTTTTTCGTTGTTTATTGCTGAAAAAATTTTTTAATAAGACAATTTTCGTTCTTTCTTTTCGTTTCTAAGTTTTCGCATTATATCATATAGCATTATACAATTATCAAACATATACTAATCTCATGTAGCATTATACAATATTACCGTAATTAAACTAAGTTTGATTAAAATGATTTCCATCTTTTTTAATGTTGGTCAAATTTAGAGTCGCATAATTCTGTACTTTAAAATATTCAGAATTTAAAGAGACATATTATTTTATTTACTGTAGCTTAAATCAAAATAAGCGATACAAACTTTACTTATTTTCAAAGTTTCAAAACTATTTAATATTTTATAAAGCCTTCAAATGAAAGCTCCTTCAATTTTTAGATGCAAATTTTAATATAATTCTTCACTATTTTGTAAGCTCGAATTTGTTCCCCGTAATTATGCTCACAAGGAAATATAATAGAACATATAGTTTACATGCTTTTGGAAAGATACTTAGAAATGCTTTTATATGAACATATTTTACCTTACTAATTTAGCACAAAAAAATGAACTACTTTTGAAGAATTAGCATAGTTTAAAAATTAATGTTGTTAACATTTCTGTAAGTAATGTAAAATTTAATGTAAAAATTCAAAGTTACAATTAAAATATTGTATGCCACAAGTTTTATAATTTACCTGGCAAATCCTTCAATGGAATATTTCCGAATGGGCCAAGATGAAGACGTCCTATAAATTTCAGAGGAAGTTTTCCAACACCACCTTAAAAACACAAAATTTTTGTTATTCATAAAAGTTAAAACATTAAACAAATTCAAAACGGAAAATATACTAAACATATTTGGGTCATCTTGCATCAGTAATCTGCTATGATTATCTCTACATGAATTAAAACTGAAATATATATAATTTTTGATAGTTTATTCCAAATTAAGTTTCTGGATAATATTAAAGCAAATTAATTGATTAAATATTTATTATTTTCTGCCAAACTATGAAGAAACTGCAAAAAAATAATATTATTTTACTTATTTAAAACAATTTCCTTCAAATAATTTCCGAATCTTAATTAGCTGAAATGTTTTATGGTAAAATTTCTAAATTGTATTCATTTATTTTTTGTCAGTTAACATTTGTAATTTATTGTTGTCCTTCATTTTAAACAAAATACCAAGACTGAGCAAAATATTTGAATAAAATGTATTTTTTACGAAAAAACACTAAATCAAGATTTATAACACAAATACACATTTTTGAAGTTTTACATAGTACCTACGTTTAAATTAGATAAAAAGAAACTTGTAATATATATATATATAAAATTACCAAATTTTAAAATATNTGCGTATATATATATATATATATATATATTAAATAAAAAAACGATATAATTTTTTTATTAGATGAATATTAAAGGGAATCTTACTTGGGAGACTGCCAAGTGGAAGAGGCAGATTGAATTGTACTGAAATAAACAAAATCAAATGATGTAGGAAAAACAAATCATACATATAGTTGAAGTATTTCGTTTAGATTATAAATTTATCTTTAAAAAAATAATTCAACAATTTATATTTTTAAAAATTTTATTACTTAAAAGAAAATATATTTAAATAAACAGTTAATTTACTTTTAAAAGATGTCATAGTTAACTAGAACTAGTTGCTAAATATACGATAAATTCATACCTTTAAACTTGTTGGCAGGTACTTTACCCAACTGGCTTAAAGGAATATTAGCAAGGCCATCTGAAAGAAATAACAAGAAATGAAATCAAATTTTCACTCTCTTTTGCTATGAATATTTACTCAAAATTGAGGGAAACATTTTCAGTCATGTTCCAAGAAATGACTTTTTTTTAAACTTTTAAACATCAAGTATATCTTATTGATACTTTTTTTAACTTCTAAGAGTTGATCCCTAGGGTGAAATTGTCCTGAAATTTCTCTGCTGCGCATTGTTTTCCCCATTTAATAACAAGGAATATTTTTATTTTATTTTTTTATTCAGGAATGCCTGCATCTGAACATCGGAAAAAGGAAGAACTAACACTCAGAGGGTTAAAAAACTAGAATATCATTTTCAAAATAAGTCTATTACTTTTCATGCATTCTTAAAAATGCTCCTTTTCTTAACAAATTGTTTTAAAAATTGTCTGTTATTTTTTGATATATTTAGAGTTTTTTAAACGTTTTTAATGAATTTTCTCCTTTTGGTGCCGTTTTTTCTTAACACATTGTTTTAGTATAGTAAATTATATCTGATATTATTAAAAATATTCAAATTAAGTTTGTGTAAGAAATGTTCTTTTTATGAAATGTAAGGCATGGTTATAAGTTACAGGTGTGCAAACATTATCTTTTTTTTTATATAAATTGATATATTCATTGATTAAATGCATTGATTACATGCAACTGAATTTTACAAAAGTAAGAGAATTTTGGATAAATGCAAAGTTTGAGCAGACAATATAGTAAATCTGTTCAGCATCCAATAAAGCAGCGTATTTACAGAAAAATACCAAAACTTCCATGATTTAATGCATACTGTGGTAACAAGAGGGCAGAAATTTTAGAGAAATAATTATTCTGAAATTCGGATTCCTCAGAGACCTGTCTCTGAGGATAGTTGAAATCAAAATAGAAAAATTCACAGATAGTTGTTTCATCATGAGGTTATCCGGGTAGCCGGAAATAAGACTTAGGAGTGATTTGTGAATATCTGATGTTCCGGATTCATCTAAGTTGCAATTATAGCCGTGTTCATACTTTAAGCTGTACATGATTGCCTTTGCGTCAGTTTTTTTCGGTATTCATTGGATTAATTCACTTGACTGTGCTTTATGCAAGTTTGGACAGATTATGTCTGCAAATCTTCGGACATGTGTTCTGCACTAAGCGATTTAAAAGGCATTGTTAAAAAATATTGGGCAGTCAGTTGAGTTATAACCTAGCAATTTTTAAATAATAACGATATTCATGTTTAAGTTACTATAATAAACTTAGAGATAACTATAAATATGGTAATTTAAAGTACCTGGAATTTGATCCAATGGAATATTTCCTAGTGGACCTAAGTGAAGGGTAATGAAATTTTTGGCTGGTTGTTTACCATCTGAAAGAAATAAAGACTTATAACTCTTTTGCTAAAGTTACATATCAAATATTGCAAACTTTACTTTAAAATATTAAAGATATTAAATAAAATTCATTATCCTATGTGTACTTTAATAATAGCATTTATTAACAATTTAAAATAACTGTTTAAGTTAATAAATGTTTAAGTTAACTTTTTTGCTTAATTTTAGTTAATTTCAGAGCGCCCCAGTCTCCTATTTGTCCGAGTAGTTCAAAAATTTCTTGATTTTTAAGGAAATCGTTAAATAAAAACTATTCAGTTCATGCCAGATCCTCAATAGTTGTTTTTTTCTGAAACAAAATCAGCAGAATCTTACTTAGTCAGTAGAGGTATTTTAAAGTAACAGACAAAGGAAATAAAAATAATATTTTGATAAAATAATACGTTTGCTTAAATATGGTGCTATATGATTTTAGAAGGCAGCTAAAAAATTACTCTTTAAAACATGTGTTAAACCATATGTAGCAAAATGTACCACTGAATCGATTTTGGACTACTTAGCGATTTTTATATTTAATGGTGATAAGTTTCAAGGTATGTTTTTATGCATTTGAAAAAAATTTCACTTTCGTATTTATAGTAAAGATATTTGGTTTAAAAATAAATTTTATTTTTTTATTTTTATCAATCTTATGCATTTTTGAAAAATTCATACGTAAAGAATCTTAATGAGTTATGAAAATTCATAATTAAAATATAAAATAATCAGGAAAAATTTGGTTTTTATAGCATTGAAAAAATTTCGCTTAAATAATAAAAAATAAAAAAATACTTGGTGGTTGTTGTCCTGGTTGTCCTGGTAGAATAAATTGGAATTGTGGGAAGTTTCCAAGTTTAGCTGCAGAAAAAATTTTTTTTCAGTGAAATATAGTCATTTGTATAATAGTATTTGTATAATAAATATTAGTATATGTGCATAATATTACTTGGTAGTTGTCCTAATGGTGTGTTGCCTAGAGAACTGAGTGGTGTATCAGCACCTGGAGCATCACCTGATATTATAAAGTCATACAATTAATATTCAGTTCATAGTTTCTTTGTACAACTTTAAAGTTTGAAGACTAATTATAATGTCAAACATATATTAAAAAAACACAACATAATTAGAGTTCACATACATTTACATCATGTGCATTATACATTGTGTTTCCTTTCAAAATAATTAGAAAAATATCGAGAGATTCGGATTAAAATGTTTAATTGAGTAAATTAAATGAGTTAAAAATATATATGTATATATATATTACTTGGTATTGATGCCAAAGGAATATTGCCAAGTGGTCCAAGGTGAAGAGTAATTAATTTGCGCAATGGTACATTAGCAAGGCCATCTAAAATTATAAGGATAATGTCATTCACAAGAATACAAAAAAGGAACATTTACTGTAGTCATCGATATTGTAGACCAGGGGTCCCCAACCCTATGCCCGCGGGCACCATGGCGCCCTTCGATCGGTTTAGGTGCGCCCGCTGCTTGTGCCTAACGATAAAATACTTCAGTTTTCCATTTTCCCATAAAATGTTAAGCAATATTTTTTACTATTTCAATATGGATGATAAACACAACCAAAATAGAAATCGCCATCCCCACAGATATAAGCACAAAGCAAAATATAGCTGACCACTCGCGAATTGCATATATGAACTCATACTTTGTATGTTTTGCAAGCAATTTCGTAATAATTTATTTTACTCAAGGATATTAATACTAATTATATTCATATGTTAAATTAATTTTTAAAATAAAATTTTTTTGTGCATTATATGCAGTGTGTATTATTTCCTATGTCTACCAACTATAAATTTATCTTGAAAAGATAAATGGTGCCCGCCATTCGACCGATATTCTGGTATTTGCTCTTTGGTACAAAAAGGTTGGGGACCCCTGTTGTAGACAATACTAAGGGAATTATATCTTGTAAGAAAAGTTACATGCACCATTAAAACTATGGATGGGTGGCCTAATGAAAACAATAACAAGCGTCCTTAAACCGGAAAAAATTTAGAAAATTTCCGGTGTATCCCTCCACTTATGTTGTGACTTCAAGGCGATGTGTGAACAAGCCTAATATTCTATGCAGTTTTGTTATTGTAATTTGGGTTCAAATTTAAACATAATTGTACCATTCATAAGAGCTTTCAGAAATGTATTGATTCTCAGAGGTCGTAAGGCCAAAAAATTGTTTGGAAAGTTAATATCTCATTGTGAATAATTCTTAAGGTTTGCCATGTTTTGTATTTCATCCCTCATTTGGCTACATTTGAATAAAATGTCGCCAAAAATATCTTTAAAAATATCTTTTTAAGTTAGCCTAATTAGAAAATATTCTAATGATTATAATATTAATATGATAATGCTGAAGTTTAAAGGCTGAAAGAAAGAACTCGGTACATGTGAAATACTGCAATAGATATGATGCAATAATATGATGGCGCGTTTTTTTCAATCTGCGGCGTAAAAATATATCGGAAGCAGTAACCCGGAAGTCTTGCAAGAGCAATTTAACCACTAGCGCCACCACCCTTAGCTTTACACGATCACCCATTCATATTCACATTCAATAATTATTTTAAAAAATATCGCAATCACAGCCCAAATTTGTACTACTCCCTTTAAGATAATAAGTCGTATGTATAAGAAATGAATCATTCTTTAATTATTCATTTCCTTTTGTGGAATGATTAAGTATTAATTAATAACTTACCTGGTATGTCACTTGGAGAAAGACCAGGGAGCTTGCCTAAAAAACAAATAAATTCTAAATTAATCAGAATTTTTCTTTCACAAAATATGATCTTTAATGCAACATTAATAAACATTATTTTAGAGTAGCTTTTAATAGTAATGTAGTTTTTAAAATAAATACGCAAATTTGTATTTTCTGTAAACTTAAAATTATATTTGGACTCACCTCCAACATATCGGATATTTCATTAATTTTTCATATTAGAGTTAGATTTTTAGTTATTATATTTTAAACAATAAAAAAAAATTCGAACATTACCTGCTAGTTGTCCTAATGGAAGATTTCCCAATTGATTCAGTGGAAGTTTAGCAAGTGGACCTACAAAAGATTTTTTTTTTACTATAGAACATTGATTAGATGAAAATGGTTGAATACAAAACGGAAAAAAAATATTTATTGAAATAAAATCAATTCATGAAGTTAAACTTTCATCAATGTTAATAAGTTTGCCTTTAAATTAAAGCAAGATGTAATAAAAACATTTTTTACACCTTTGGCATTATATTGGCATATACATTATATTGGTTATTTTTGTCAGTGTTAATCATTTTAAATACTTTATAAGATTCTAACTTAATTACTTTAGTTTTAAAACAATCATATCGGTTAAGAGAATTACCTAATTTATCGAATGGGAAAGTACCCAGTGGGAACACTTGTATAGAACCGACACTATCTAGTTGAAGAGATGGAATTTCGGCTGCAAGGAAAATATAAATTATGAGTTTAATTTATGAGTACAATTTTAAAGCAAATGCTTTACTAAAAAAATTAAAATTGTGCGTCAAATAGTTTCTTTTTACAATTTTAGAAACTTTATAAAATTAAATGCAAATTTAAAAATCATACATAATAAACAAAAATTATTCTTTAAACGTTATATAATACATATAAAGTAAAATTAAACTTGAAAGTTAAAGTGTATATATTGTACATAATAAGTTTTTGGTTTTTTAAATGATATTAAGGAACTTACCAGACGGGTAATCTGAAAATATAAATAATTTATCTTGTGTTCGCAAGTAGAAAAGAAAAAGTATTTAAACTAAATCTTAATATAAATTCTGAACAGTCAATATAATCATAGGGGTAGCTGTTTTAATTATCTGCTGTACAGTTGTATCATTGAATAATTGTTCGCATGTTTTGGAAAATTAGAGCTTACTTAATATTTAAAACGTGCTGAATACCCGTTCTTCGCATGTGTTAAAAAAAGTAATTAATCAATAAATTGGTTATAACCAACACTACGAGATCATTTGCAAATTTGAAGGATATATATAGCGGCAGAATTATTTAAGCTAAAACAATTATATTTAATTATTTTTTGACCTTTAGAGTGGCTTTTAGTTTTCAGGTTAAGTGAACACGGTTAAGCTCATCCCATAAAAATAAAGATTAATTATATTCAGTATCATTTGGGTTATTATTTTTCAGTTGGAGTCCAACTTCTGCTAGTCAAAAATTACCCTAACCTCCGGTACTTCTCCCTTTCGGTGGGCCATAAGGACCTATTTCCACAGTACCTATAGTAGACATCTTGGAAACAATAAAGCATGTTTAGCAGACGAATTTATTGCAAAAAATTAACTAAGCATTATTGACGTCGATAATATAATGATTTTTTTATGGTTTTCATATACGAATAAGTAACTTTTCATATTTAATAGAGCTTTAAGCATCATTGGCGTTAGTTAAAATATTGGAATTTCTTATGATCTTCATTTATGAATAAATAAATTTTCTACGTTAATTTAGACACTTTGGTTCGCCACGTTTTCGATCATACTTACACCATATACGGATTACTTCAGAATTGTGGACTTGGGGAAGGTGCATACATATACACAGACATATCTGTATGTAAGAATACAGAAAAACATTCTGCTTTATTTATACGGATCCTTTAGAAAGGTAAGAGTACTTTATCAGATATTTAACTCCTTGAAATTGAAAAAAAAAGTGAAAAATATTTGATATTGCTTTCAAATTATTTTTGTGTAAATTCAAATCATGTTTATAAAAGAATAATTTTCAAAATCTCAGAGTAGTAAAAGAGTAGTAGAAGAGTAATTAAAAAAAAGTTCTTACATCCATTCGGGTATTGTCCAGATGGGAACACTAAGTGGAAGAAAATCGAATTAATACGCATGACACACATATAAATCAGTTTTATAGATTTGAATTTGAAGAAATTTTCATTTTCTTTTATTGAACCTTTATAAACATTAAAACTGCAGTTAATAAACTCAAATAAACTATTATTTTATGCAAAAACATTTAGAAAAAAAAATTTCGTACTGAAAATTTTTTATACTAGTCTCTTGCTCCAAAATCAAAAGGTATTATAATGATGGAAAGACACTTTAGAGACATTGCTGAACAGGAAACCCATTAATTTGTTTATTTTTTTCTAATAAACTATACGTGCATTTTTGCATTCATTCTTTTCACAAAAAAAGATAACACATTAATAATGGAGAGCTGCTTTAATAAATTTTCCTTATGATATTTTTAGTACATGAACAGTTAGATATTTAAACACTAAAATTTTGTAGAAGTTTTGACTGTTTATATATAGTTATCCCAACATTGTTAGCTTTTAAAATATTAAAAAACAAATAATTTTTAATTTTATGAAACAAATATTTATAAACTACACAAATTTACAAATTTGGATGCATAGTTAACACAATTTTAATAAAGAGATATAAGAATTGTCTTAATTTTTCAAAACCCTAAGTTTATAAGAAAAGTTGTACTTACTAAATCTTAAGATGTATCTTTGGAGAGCTGAAATAACAAATTAAGTAATATAAATAACAATAAATATATTTTACCTTTTTAAAAAACGAAATTTAAAAGTATACTAAATTTAAAATTTTTAACACTAATGCAGACCTAATAACCTTAATTAAACATTTACAGTTTAATAAAAATATATTTTATGTACATAAATTTTCACCAATCAATAGAAGTAGGGGAGAATTGGATAAAGCGGGATAGTCGGACGAAACGGGATACGTCGCCTAGGGACCTGGCTATTTAGTTATCTAGAGGACGACAGCGGAAACTTGTTATTCGACCGTGATTATATCATTCTCAGTGCGCCCCGCCTTGAAATCACTAGTTAATCGAAGGTTGTAGGTCTCAGAAATTTTTTACTCTATTTTCTTTGCCATTTTCTACATTTTTCTACATTGCACTGCCTATATGTATGGGATTACAATTCCAGAGAGTTTTACATTTGATGAAGCATTTATTAACGAGTATTCTCATGTCTAGTCAATCTAATTTTTCTTTCACGTTTAGGTAGCAGCCATGTTTGTTTTGAAAACTGTCTGAGTTTGACAAAACGGGACACTGAGTTGGATAAAACGGGATAAAGTTTTTTATGTCTCATTTTATCCACCAATTTATTTGTTGGCCTATTACTTCCACCGTCTTGAAATTATAGTTACTATATTATTATTATTACTTCTACTATATTATTATTACTATATTGAAGGAAAGGTAAAAAAGGCTCGTACAAATACATTGACCCCTGAATTGACAGCAGTGAAAAAGTTGGACAGATATGAGACAGTATTCAATGCTAAGCAAGAGAAACGTATGAGCATGTATTATCTCTAAAAGATTGATTATTTGGTATAACCCTAACGGGCATACGCATTTGAGTTAGCTGAGAGAAACGATGTTAAGTATAATTTTAACACATAAAAAAACGGCTGGAAAGTGTTGGTTGTATTCATGTCTTGGCAGACATAAAGAACTTAGCCTCCGAAATCCAGAACCCACGAGTATGGCCCGAGCAAAAGGGTTTAATCGCACTGCAGTTAAGCAGTTTTCTGAACTTTTGAATTCTCCATTAAGCAACCATACGATTACCCCAAATGATATTTATAATGTTGATGAAACATGAATTCTACCAGTGCCAAACAAGCCTTCAAAAGTGTTGAGTCTACGAGGCAAAAAGAAAGTGGGTAGCTCTTCTTTAGCCAAATGAGGAGTGTTGGTTACTGTTGAAACATGTATCAGTGCAGCTGGGATATTCGTCCCTCCTATATTTGTATTTCTTCGAGTGAAGGAAAACCTAAGACTCATGGATGATGCTTTACCAGGATCGTGGGCAGTGTATAACAAGACTGGCTGGATCACTAAGGAGACCTTCATTGCTTGGTTTTAAAAATTCGTAGAATTTTCCAACCATAGGCATAAGAAGCCAGTGCTGTTGCTGCTTGATGGACAAAACCGTCACACCAAAAGTTTGGAGCTTGTAAATTTGGCAAGAGAAAAATATTGTAATCATCCTAACCTTCCCCCACATACAACTCACCGCCCACTGAGCACGTATTATGAACAAGAAATTCGAAAATGGCTGTTCAACCATCCAGGTGGGTGCGTTGCAGTTTATGAGGTTACAAAACTGTTCAACGCAGCCTACTCACGGGCAGCCATTGCAGAAACTATCGTTAAAGCGTTTAGCAAAACTTGCATAAGTCCTTACAATTCTGACGTCTTCCCAGATCACCTGTTTGCACCGTCTCTCACCGCTGATCACCCAACGTCAGACCTGCAGCAAGAACCTCCAGGCGTTGGACACCAGACTGATGTGAGCAGACTGAAGTGACAGAGCAGTGTGTGCTGTTTTAGGATTAGTTATCTTTTGTTATCGACCTAGACTACGCTTTTCCATCCATCCAAAGTGTGTTCTACCTGCATCTCAAGTAAAAGGACCGCTCCCAGAAAAATGGCTGATAAGAGAAAGTAAAAAACTGTAATAATAACATGATCTCCATGTAAAAGTGAATTATAAATGAACGAAAAGGAAAGGATGACTAAACTACTAGAATGAAACAAGAGAATTTAAGAAAGGACTGCTAAGAAATCCCTCTTAAGGGCACCAGACACATCTTGACAGTGAAATTTATGGAATAAGCGTTCATATTTGAAGACTCGTAAAATCTTTAAAAAGACATATAGCAGCATAATTTTTGTGAACTTAATTGTAAAACAACAGTCTATATGAAAATGTTAGAAGCAATAAAATCCCATTAATAAAATTTTTAGAAATTTTGCTTTACGTTTTCTGTCAGTTAATTATGTTTTTCAGTTAGTTTTACACAAAAAATTAAACTTTGTAAACCCTGTCCCGTTTTGTCCAACCCAGGTGTGCTAAAACGGGATATGTAAGAGTTTGGAAAATAATTCTTTTTATATTTTACAGTCATTAAAATTAGTTTAAAATATGTTTCTTCTGCACTCCAATAAGTGATGTAGCTATGAAAAAAAAATAATGTGCTGTTCACTTCAACAGATTTTCCGTAGTAAATAAAAACAATAATGGTATCCCGTTTCATCCAACTTTTCCCTAATAAACTGAGTGAAAAAAAACATCTTGTACAATTACATTCCCATTCATACCCATACTTTAGTAAATTAAGAAAATACTTACGGTTACTTGGGTTCTGACCCCCTGGGCCCCCTGGGAATTGACCCCCTGGAAGTACTAAAAAAGAATAAATAAATGATTAAAAATTTAATTTTGCTAACATGAATTTAGTGACAGAAATTTTTTATTTCATTATGTAATTTAAAATAGAGTAACAAAGGTAGCAGTGAAAAAAATAATTTCCTGAGAAGTGGAAAAACTGAATTCAATTCAAATCATTAAATACTATTTATTAAACAAAGCAATAATTTTAATCAATATTGATTCCCTTTATCTTTGTCAATAAATAAAATGATAGTTTAAAATTTAATATTCTTGAACTAAAATATACAAACTGATATATAAAAATGGTATACTTTTATATATCTGTTAAATATGTAATGTTTTAAAATATTTTTTAAAATGTTAACGTTATAAACCATCAATTAAATTTTTTTTTCATAGAAAAAAAATTAACTTTTTTTTTCAATTTTCAGTTTTAAATTTGTTTACTAAGTTTACAGCACTGCTTAGAGCAGAATACATTTTAATTACAAAAAATATTTCTAAAGCCTTATTTACTGAAACCTTATATGACAAAAGAAATCAAAGTAGATGAAACTATAAAGAAACAAACACACACAAATGCATCTTTGATTTTTTTTTATATTTCAGTATGTAAGCAAAACTTACGCACGCGAATGTTATTCTATAGCAGGATAAATGAATTAATTTTTACCATTTTTAATTTCTTATTATTAGTTATATGGATAAACTATGACTCTTAGTATCATATTAAAACATTTCATAAAAGTCTAACTTTTAATGGCATTATTAAGAAAAATTCTAACAGAGATATAATTTCGGATAAATAATGTTACTTACAGTATGTTGGGACATCTAAAAAAAGATAAGATTTGTAAGTCTTACGAAAGTTAAATTATTAGTATGTCAAATGAAGGAAATGTTGCCTTCTTAATTTTCGTGCACACAATTTAAATAAAATAATGCAGTAATTAAACAATATATACTTACATTATAAAAATAAACATTATAATATAATATATAATTACAATATGAATTAAGATGGATAAGTACTTTTTTTTCATTTTTTACTAAACAATTTCTTTATAGACTTCTGGCCATTAAAATTGCTGCACCAGGAAGGCGACGCAACACGAACGTGAAATTTGCAGGAGGGATAAAGTATGTTGTGATATGCAAATGATTTGCTTATCAGCTTATTCATGGAAAGCAGCGGTAGCGACACCTACAATGTGTGTAAAAGAAGAGATTTGAATGTAAGTTTCTCATACAGAAATTGAATTTGAGTTGCTCGTGATCAAAAAAAATTTTTTTTATGCCTCGTGTAAGCAGGAGAAATGCCTTCCATCACGTGGCTGAGTTTGATCGAGGTCGAATTATGGCCTAACGGGATTGCTTTTTATCATATCGAAGTATTGCTGCTCACGTTGGTCGTGATCCCATGACTGTTAGCAGAATATGGAATCAATGTGTTCATGATGGTCATATGGAACGTCGTGCAGGATCTCAGCGGCCCCCCATCACTAACAGCTGAGAAGACAGACATGTTATCCACATGGCCTTAAGGGATCGTACAGTTACATCACGAACCCTGAGTCAAAAAATGGGGTTATTTGCAGGACAACAAGGGTCTGCACGGACAGTTCGATGATGTTTGCAGCAGGATGGACAGTCAGCATGGTGATCATGGCTTCGGCTACCCTTGACGCTGCATCACAGGTAGGAGTGCCTCCAATGGTGTGATCAACGAAGAACCTGGATGCAGGGATACAATGAAGTCGTTTTTTCAGACGAATCTAGGTTCTGTATACTGCATCATGATGGCCGCATCCGTGTTTGGCAACATCTTGGAGAACACCCATTGTTATCTTGCATTCGATATCGTTATGCTGACCCATCACCTGGAGTTATTATATGGGGTACTATTGGATACTCGTCTCGATCACCTCTTCTTGGCATTGCCAGCACTTTAAACAGCAGCCGATACATTTCTGACGTGTTAGGGCCAGTTGCTCTGCCTTCTGACCTTCCTTGACACAGAACATGCTCCCCTGTTTCCTTGGCCAGCACGTTCTCCTGATCTCTCACCAATTTAAAACGTCTGGTCAATGGTTGCCAAACGACTGGTACGCCACCTCTCGTCAGTCACTGCGGTCGATGAATTGTTGCATAATGTTGAATCTGCATGGAATGCTGTACCCGTCCATGCTATCCAATGTCTGTTCGACTCTATGCCCAGGGGAATAACTGCTGTTATTGCTGCCAGGGGAGGCTGCTCTGAGTACTGATTACTCAGGATCTATACATCCAGATATCCTGAAAATTTAACCACTTGTTCTTGCAACTATAATGTATGTGTCCAATAAATATTATTCGGTTATTTGCATTCCTCCTTGGTGTAGCAATTTTAATGGCCAGGAGAGTATTTTTGCTAAATAAATATAAACTTACGTCCTGGAACTTGATCTATAAAAAAAAGTATTTTATAACAATTTATAGGAAAATGCATCTATCGATTAAAATTTTACATTCAATTTTAAATCATTCGTTACCAGGAAATAAATTTTAACTCTATATTAAAATATTAAAAAAAAACTTGTATTCAAATAATAATCAAATCATCATAAACTGAATCCTTTAAAATCCATTCAAATATAAAAAAAAAACTTCTGAAATTTGAAGATAATAGTAGTAATTCGTATTATTATTTTTCATATAACCTTAAATTTCTTTCCATTAATTTGTTTCATTAACACCACTTAATATATTTTGGATCAATAAGATTAAATTTGGTACATATCGCTTTTGCTTTTTAAAAAATAAACATAAGTATAGTTTTGATATTAAAAAAAATCTGAACTTGTAACTTTTTAAATTTAATTTAAATCTTATTTTATGCAATTATAAATACTTAATATATTATAAATACTTAATACAAGTTATACTTAATTATTTTCCTAACAAATTAACTAAAAAAGTTTGATTTACACCGGATTAGATTTTTCTTCTTAAGATAACTTTTGTGATAAAGATTTTTGCAACTTTTTTTATTAGCATATTTATAATTTAAATAGCATAAATTTATAATGCATAATTTTAATTATGCTATGCAAATAATGATTGAAAATTAAAATGATTTCCTGAACTTTGTATAGCATTATTTTAGTAAGCTTCCTTATTAATATTATTATTTTAACACAGCTTAATGTTACAATTAACAACAGTAAAACTATTAACAAATAAATAAATATTTGCAAATAAAAATAAGCCAATTTAAGGTTTTACATTATAATATCTAACTTAATTTCGAGTAATTGTACAATTATAAAAGTTAATAATATTAAAGTTGTATTTGGTACTTACCGGCACTTGGATAATGTCCTGATGGATAATCTGCAAATATTTAATATAAATATTTATCTTCGAAAGAATATTATAATATTTTTTTCTATTTTCATGCAGTTTAAAATAAAAACACTATATTTTATAATAAAATGTTCATGCAAAATTTCCATAGAAATTATTTGTATTGAAAAGTATTATATACTTATAAAAAGTGATTGAAAGCGTTGTCGATAAATTTTGCATACATTTTAATGCAGTCTTGACAGTCTTGAATATTTGAAACAAAAGTAAGCAATGTCTTAATTATGTAAGCAATGTATTAATTAAGTGTAATAAAAGTAATGTATTAATTTTATAGTTATTATTTTTTTCTAATTTCAAAAATTTTTTCTTGAAAATTCTATTACTATTCTGTTTAAAAGTTTTCTACGATGCATCTCTGTAGTGTATTAACATTTTACAAATTTTTTTTTGTATTTCTTACTAACATAATCTTTTATTCTTCGATACGCAAACAAATTCTGCTGAAAGACTGTTTTTTATTTAAATATTCAGATTAGATTTTTTTCTTCCTTACTTGTAAAATTATCTTATTTTGAATAGTAAAGAGCAGTTGGTAGTAAATTTACGTACTTAAATATATTTTGTTAAATTTAAAAAATTGTATATGCTCTTATATTTTTATAAAACTAGTAAACAGCAAATGTTCGGTAAATTTGAAAAATAGGTTTTATTATAATCTCTTAGATGAATTATCTAATACAAAAAAGGAAAAAAAAATTAAAAGAAAAAAGCTACTTACGGCCACTTGGGAATTTTCCGGAATTAGTTTCTAAAATGTTTCAATAAAAACTGTTATAATTTGTTTTTAAAGTTATAAATTAATTTAAGTGACATATATCATTCAAATTAGAAATTTAAAATAATTAGTGTTCTGTTTCATTAAAAAAATCCACAAAAATGCATCTTTTCTTTTAGGTATCATTAAAAACAGATACTTTTATATTTTTTAATGCTATCATGTTTATTGAAAGTTAAAATATTCATATACTAACAGTTTTGAAAATAATTGCTATTAAGCATATTTTAATTGCGTATTTTGATATAATTTTTACTGGAACAATCTCAAAATTCAAAAGTTTATAAATTCGGATCCACAAATTCGCGTTTCACGATATAATACCAACGTCTAGATTTCAAGGTACTTCTTTAATAATGGTTTAAAGCGATTTTCCTAAGAATGAAAAGATCCCACAATTTTTAATATTAAAGTTGTTAAAACTTTTGCTGAACTCTATAAATTATGTATTTTGGAGGAAGTATATTCGCTTTTTTTGGAAGTATATTTGCTGCTTTCCGAGATTTTTTGTTAGAATCTTTATGTAAACTCTTAGGACAACTCGTACGTATATAAATTCAAAATGCTTCAATCAATAAAAATAATAAATTTGTTTTACTAAAATCTATTTGCTTTATTAAAAGCCACATTTAATTTATTCCGAAAACTTTAAGGAATAAAATTTAGAATCGAAATTAAAAAAAAACAATATTGCAAACAAAACAATATATGCATGCGATTATCGTAAAGTAGAAAGGATATTTATAAAATCTGTAAAAGAATTTAAAGATTCGAAATAAATTGTAACTTAATGAAACATCAAAAAATCATAGTATTATTTTCGTGACAATCAACTGGGAAATAATTCAATCGTATGATTTAAAGGTCTATACATAACTTCAAAAGTCAGTAATACTATTTATCTTACTAAGGTACATCATATACACTCAGTATAAGTTTGGATATCATTCAATAGTAGAAAAATTTAATAGTTTTTTTTTATATTGCATTCTGCTATATTTTGTTAAAAATATTTCAAGAAAAAGCACCCCAAAAATTTCAGGTGATTTTAAAAATAACTCTAGATTTGTAGATATTTTATTTTTAATAATTGCTTTTTATTATACTTTTTCATTATACTTTTTCATTATACTTTTTTAATGTACTTTTTAGCACTTACTTCCGCCGGGATAGTGACCAGATGGATATTCTGAAAGAAAAATTAAATTTCATCACTGTGTGAGCTTTGTAAAAAATTCCTAATCACAAATTGCTAAAAAATTCGTTACTCTCTAATCAGTTTTAAAAATTATTTATGGCTAGGTTAGTAAGTTGCTCGATCAATAATAAACGTTTGTTTCGTTTAGGCATTAAACGACCAATTTTAAGAAGAACATTTCATTCTATTATATTGAATTAATTATTAAATCTTGGATTTTAAAAGCTAATTTTTCCACATTTTTGAAGGCATCTGAAACCTCTATTAATCTATTGATAAGTAGGGAGAAATCGGTAAGTAAAGATTGTAACAGAGCAAAAATTTCGAGTGTCGGGTTCTAGATTTGGTTCCGAGGTGGCACACAAGGTGTATTTAATAAATCTACATGCACACCCCTGCTGGCAACCATTTTTACGTACTTTTGAAAGAGTTACATCACAAAAGATATTTTCACTCTACGTAAGTACTTGTTTTGGTATTAGAATATCACATTGTAACAAAGTAATTCTGTTTAAACAAATAAAAATTATTAACCGAATTTGTAAGTGGACACCTCAACTAGCACTTCAAAAAAAAAAAAAAAANGTTAATTAACTAGCATTGTTTTTAACAAATGAAGCTGAAATGGAGTCTTGGGGACGATTGTAACAACAAGTAAAGGGACGATTGTAACACCTGAAAATAAATAATCTTATGTTTACAAACCATTACTTAACACTTTAAGAACCACCAATAGTTTCCTATATCACTTATATTATGTTGCATGTGCATTATTTTATTTGTCACCTTTCACAGCATAAATTAAAATTTTTAACCCCTTAAAGTTAAAAGTTTAACACTTTAGGTCTCTGCTCATTATTATTTTTACTCCTAAAATATCACTACTATTTTGATCAATAAAAAATATATCACAGCTATGATTATATGTATAATTAACTATGTTTTAGTTGAATTTATGAATTGTTACAATTGACTCCGTAAGTAGGGACAATTGTAACAAGTGCACGACTGTCAAAAATTTTTAATAACTAATATAATGACATTTAAAATACGGTATTTACTTTTTTTCTATTAGAGGATAGTCTACTTTACTCGTCTGTCAATTAATACTAATAATATATTGGATTTTTTGTTAGTTAAAAATAGTTAAGTAAAAAATTTTACAATTGACCCCACTCTCCCTTAATACTAACTACAAATTTTATAACATTAAAATTACTTTCAAATTGCATATTTAAATTGTATCATATTATAGTTGAATAAAAATTTTATTTTTCTTACACATAAATGGTGAATAAATGAAAAATGATATACTTACGACCACTTGGATACTGGCCGGAGTGTATGGCTAAAATGAAAAACGAAGAATGAATGTTTCCAGAAAATGTACTGTTTCATTATAAAACGTCTATATAGCTTTCTAAAAAAATTGATACAAATTTCATATCTACACCTTAATTTAATTCACTTAGAAATTTTTTTTTTGAATTATAAGTATTAAAATGCCTTTTACAGAAATTGGTGTATATCCTGGAAGTTAAATAAATGAATATCACTAAAAGCTCATTCTAAACAGCTATGTACTTTTTTATGATTTCTAATTTGGAAATTAATATGCATAAGTCTTTCTTAAAATAATATTTTTTTTAGAAAAACAATTGCATGAATCCTTTTTTAACATTTTGAGTGCAAGCAAACAAGCCCTATTCAATAAAATAACTGATGAAGAAAATGTAATGTTTAATAAAGCAACAAATATCTTTTGTCTTATATATTTCGTAATGTTGCTTAAAAAACTTAATTTGTTTAATTTTGAAATTTAATAATCAAATCATATTATTTTTTATTTTAGATGCACTGTAAGAAATTTCCCAGAAAAAAAGACTAATTGACAATTTTGCGATATTAACTATTTTATCACATTAAAAAAATAGTTTAATAACCATAAATGATGGTATTCAATCTATTATTTGTGGGAAAATAGTTTATTGCCTTTTTAATAGTACAATTAAATAACAATAATTTAAATGCGAATTTTTTTCACCTAATGAAGCCACTTAGTTCCTTGCAGCTGGGAGCGTAGTTTAGAAGGGGCACTTTTGAAGGTACTTTTGAGCGCACTGGGAGCGTATCTTTCAATCTCATGTCTACTCAAATGGGAGTTTTAATACCAGCTTTGATACCAAAATATTTCTCCAGTTTCTTGAAGTTCTACTGTTCGCATTTACCTTGTCTTCCGGAAAGCGAAACTTTCATTAACGTATAAATCATAGCACTACAAGGTTCCCTAACATAAACAGGTCTAGTAATTACCATGTCTTGCAATGGATGGCATCACTAGATTGCAATTAATCCACATTCTGTAGTTCATTTGACAAAACACAACTAAATCACAAAACTCTAATGCTCAGTTAAGAAAATTTTTTATACAGTTTTTAAACCATGCTAGTTTAAAGGGTTTGAAAGCTATACTAGAAAAATATTCCTAATCGCAATTTTACGAGGAAAATTAAAAAATATATATATATTTCGAAAAAAATATAGTGATGTCTAGAGAAAATTATTTTATTTGTTGGAATTTGAAATTTCATCTTTAAAACAAATTATTGAAGTGAGAATTTTCTAAAAACAAATCAAACAAAAAGTTGCAAAAGCATTTAGTCTAGCTAGATCATATATAATTAAAATATAAATACAATATAATTACAATATCATTACAAGATACTTACTTCCACTTGGGTATTGACCAGATGGATACTCTAAAAATCCATTTTTTAAATTAGTTTCAAATTATTTATTGATCAAAAATTTTTGACATTGTTACTAAGAAAAACCAGTACTCTTGTATTAATTTTAATAACAGCAACTTTCTACATTTAAGAAAATTAAGGTATCATTCATGTCATTAATTATTATATTATTAACCTCTTAGCTCTTCTCTGTTGCTCCAGATTTTTTATTGATTTTAATCTGAAAAACTGTAAAATTGTTATTTGCTTAGTTTGAAATCTAATAATTTAATTACAAAGTTCCTAACGATTTTTTTGAAAAGCTGTTATTTATAAAACGCAAAAAGTTTTAATATTCTTAAAATACTGCAAAATTTGTTTGTTTTTTTAAATTATTACAGTTTTTTTACTTTGTTTTCATTGCCTTTTATTGCTAGTAAGTGTTTTATTTATAGCAGACTTTAATTTTATTGATATGAAAGCAATTTCCTATTAATCAAACAGAAGTCGTTTTCCACATTTTTTTAAAAATATAGGGGGAACTAATATTTGTTTATCAGATTTTGTACTTTTGTATTTATTTTGTATTTTTGCTTTTAATTTACTTTTGTATTTACGCTTTTTTGAAAAATTTTTTTTTTATTTGCATTTTTTACAAAATATGTTATGTGGAGAAAAATATTTGGCAAAAACACGAAATTAAATCAACATAGATCTTGAAATTGAGACTTTCTGCTGACTGAATATTTCTGAACTGAAGATTATGTGAAGTTTTAGAAGTTTAGAATCAATCGTATAGCTATATTTTTATCTAATATGCACAGGGAAAGAACACTGCTCTTCCTTGCCTTTTTCGTCTATGTGTGGTTATCCCTATTTTGGTAATTAAGTATGATTTTTATTTTTATATAATTTCTTATTTGTTATAATCACTATTTCATGTGTAAAATATAATAAAAGAAATCAAAAAGGAACTTACGGCCACTTGGGTATGCTCCTGATTTATCCTCTAAAATTGAAGCATCAATTTAGCTTTTTATAATTTATTTTTGTTAATTGCACAGAAGTAAATTTTAAAAACCCTTATCTTCTCATGATTATTAGGTTAAATTTTGTTTATATTCAAAAGTAGAGAAAAAGCATTAAAAGAAATGCCATTATGGAATATGATTATGAGTAAAACCTAAGCTGCCAATACGTAGAATAAATTGAAACATATTCCACAATGTAAAACAAATTATAATTTCATTTCTTGGAAGGTAAAATAATGCATTTATTAAATGAAACAAACAGCAAGTTATCTTAAAAGGACTAAGTTTAAATCTAAAATTCGTACATCTTATTTTACATTGTTTCCTAGCTGTCTATTTTCCATAGTAAATAAGTCTTTATTATCATATTATCTCTGTATGTATTAAAGGAAGTTTTAATTCCATTTGAAATTATTATGAAATGTGTACCCTAAAATTATATTTTTAAATTAATCAGAATGCAAAGTAATCCATAGTGATGAACGTTAATATATATTTTCTAAAATTTTTCATAATTTTAATTTTTTGACTCAGCGATAATTTGGTATCATGAAGTGCCCAGTAAGGAATAACGTAATTCAAAATTCTACAAATCATTATATAGTTAGATCAGGGGAAATGAGTTATTTAAATCTAAAAATCCGAGCATCATAATTTTTTTCCGAAGTAATGGGAAGTTTTCATCATCCATGCGAATCGCTCTATTCTCAAACAAACTTTTTTAAGATAATTACAAATCTTTTTTTCTGATGGACCTCAACAAATAAAAAGTGTTTGTCTTCTTTCAAATATAATTTGCAGCCGTTACAAACCATAGGTTTTATTTCATTTATTATAAAGACACTAAAAATTCATACCAATATAGAGACAGATAAAAGTATAGGGTTTTGTAAATGTTATACTAAACACAATGTATCAGTATTTATCATTGATAATTGTAAAATCAAATTCTTCAAAGTAATGAATGATAAATACATCGAGTTTTACAAATCTTTAATAAATTATCATGTATGAGTGTTTATCAATGAATATTGTAAAATTGCATTCTAGAAAAAAATAAGTCATAAATATAGCGTATTTTATAAATCTTAAATAAGGCCAAATAATATGAGTATTTATATTTGATTATTAAAAAATTGCATTCTAGAATATAATTTTTTGCTTCCGTAAAAATTAGCATCAAAGCAGTAATTACCTCCGCTTGGGTATTGTCCTGATGGATATTCTAAAAAAATATAAATGACTTTCATTAACATGAAATATAACTTACATTTCTAAATGAAAACAAAAATAATTATCATTTAAAAAAAACGAAAATAGTGTAGAATTGGTTTTATAAATATTTTTATATATTTGGTTTTATATATATTGGTTTTATAAATATTTTAAAATCTTACACATTTGTTTGGTATAAAATAAATCGCAAAATTTATTTAGCTTTATCAAAAATAGAAAGAAAGGAGTAATACTAAATTATTAATTCATTGTAGTTCCTGTCAAACTGATTATGAAAGATGCGTTTTTTTACAAAAACTCCACTGATATATACTGATGTCTCTACTAATTGAGTATATTTTAAATAATGAAGAATAAATGACTCAAACTAGAGCAAATATATTAATTTTAAATAATTTTTATTTACGAATTATGCTATTAAAATTGTTATTAAAACATTTCTCTGGAATTTTGTGTAAAATCATTATCACTAAAAATTTTCCTGAAGACTAAATGCAGAATTATTTTCTATAAAAAGTAATAATTATCTGTAAACAGATACTTACGACCGCTTGGATATTGGCCAGATTTGAAGACTGAAATAAAAAAAAATATTTTGAGTTTAAAAAAAATAAAGTTGCAGCCTTTTATTTCTAAACTAAATAGAATTTTTTATACGATTATTTAATAATCTAAATCTAGAAATAAATTATTTTTAATTTTCAATAAAATTTTTAATAAAATCTATTTTATTAATAAAATATAACCATTTAATCATGTTTATATAAGTCATTGGTTAAAATAAGATAGTTGAAATTAGTTTCCAGAAAGATACAAAGTGTAAATCTTACTTCCACTAGGGTAGTATCCTGATGGGTATTCTGAAAAATGAAACACATTTCAGTTATGTTAATTTAAAGAAAATAGAAGTTTTAAATTGTGTAATAAAATTTACAACATACAGCAGTATACGTTCTAACGTTTATGAAATTTGTGAAAATAGATGCTTGAAAGTCATATTAAAAGAATTTTACGATTATACGAATAATTTTATGATTTTATGAATAATTACATATTAACGTTCATGAATATGTAAAAAAAACTGAGCCTATCCAAAGGCAGGTTACTATAATTTCACAATATGACGAAGTGGGATAAGAATATGGATATGTTTTTCGATATATTGTAACATGAAACAGCATTTGTGACTGATTATCAAATGTTATTTCAAGTCAACTACATGACTCGTGTGACTTTTATCATGCACACAAACGTCAAAGTATCTTTGTTTTCGAAATTCAGCTCAAGAAAATTAAAGCAAAAAATGCTGATCGGATGGATTTAAAAAAATGCTAGAATTTAAATAACGCCTGCGCTAATATTAAACTTTTACGAAAATAAGGAACCCTGATCTAAATTTTAGATAAATTATTGAAAGTTTTGAAAAAGTTGTATCGAAATTTTTAGAATTTAGATGATATCTAAGCTTTTATTAACTTTTGTGAAAATATCAAAAATTTAATTTTAGGTAAGTCATTGAAAGTTTGAAAAAGAAATTGTGCTTTGATGCATTATCGTGAAATAAAAACCATCTAGACACCTTAAATACTTATCAGTACAATCTTAGTTAAAACCTTCCTGAAGAATATTAATAAAAATAATACTTACGTCCACTTGGGAATTCTCCAGATCTAAAAACTAGAATTTACAATAGTTTCCATGTGATTAAATTTATAATACTAAATTATTTAAAAATGCATTTATTTAAAATGAAAAGTGCCAGGGAAACTATTTCTGTTATTATAAATACTAATGATAATTTAATTACTGTTTGTGACTTATAATGAAAAATTCGAATAGCTTTTTTCTCGTATTAATTTTATGGGATCAAAACTACTTAATGTGACGTGTCGAAAGATTATAAAATCTTTCCAAGAAAGTGTCATTTGATATTGCAATTGCTTTTGGGATTCCAAGACGTAATGTGAATGTTTTTTAGATGTGTAAAAGATCAGTGCTTTTAAGCACTTATTTAATTTATATATTTATTCATTTTAATGAAAAGCACTTTATTAGCAGCTATTAATATTTTCCGGACCATTTATTTAACAAGAAATAAAGAGACGCTAAATACATAAATGACATCAAATTGTCACTGTAAAATACGACTTTATTCTAAACAAGTTCGGACACATTAAAATTACTGAATGAAATTAAAAATATAGAAATTTATTTCACTCAAAAATTCGCTTAATAGCTACTGTATATTTTTCTGTATAAAATTAGGGTGAAAATGTTATTTCACTGGCACAGTAAACTTTTTAATTAGAAAGTTTTGATCATGCTTACTTCTACTTGGATATTGTCCAGATGGAAAATCTACAAAAAGATTTTAAATGAATGAATGGATATAACCCAAATACAGTTATTTTTAAACGAAACTTTTACTATAATACTTTTTTTCAGACTTATGTGGATTTAAGATTCTGTAGAATTGTATACAATGCTTAAGCTCTCAGATACATGAGAGTATTTCAGAATATGATCTGAAGTTTCAATTCACTATGCGGATTTATTCATTTTTTTATGTAATTGATGTTTGACCTGAGGTATGCATGCATTTTATATTTTGAAAACAAGTTGTTATTGCCTTGGAATTGTGTGATGCTTTAAGAAATAAAATATTTAAAATAAAAAATACAGGGTATAAGAAAAATAGCGCTTTGAAACACCTCATAGAAAATAAATTATATTTCATAAACTAATTTTGTAACTCTACTCGTTTTTTTCACAAGACAAAAAGCTTTAAATAAATTATACGAAGAGACAAGTTATGCAAATCAACGAGATCCCATTTGCACTAAATTAAAGACTGTTCAAACATAAAAAAATATTTTGTGTGAAAAGTCCGAAACAATGAAAATGGCAGTTAAAAATAGCTTTGCTTATTATTTTTTTATTATTTTTTTAAATGATAAAAAAAGCAAGAAATTGATAATAATATATTTTCTATTATTTTCGGGACATCCATGGGACAATAACGCCTACTAAAAAATTTGTCAATAAGAAAAATGAATACCTTATGTGAAAATTCAGAAATAAGGAATTTGAAAATACGAAAATAAGTACTAAGTAAGAATATGCGGAAAAATTTATCTTCATTATATAAAACAATTATTAATTAACTATCGCATACTACATTATAATTTTACTTCGAATAAATTATACTAATCGCATAAATATTAATCACATTGTTTGTAGATTTAAGCTTATGATCAATGAGTAATGGCGGTAAATATATATAATACTTCTCACTTATAATTAGTTTAATAAACTTTTTTAACTAGTTTTCATTATGTTATGGACGAGAAATTAGTCTACGCTGATACTGTGGACACCATAACTTTTATTATTAAATACTTCAAAAAAAATTCACCCGAATCTTACATAAATTTTTAAAGGTTGAACCCCATATTAAGGATACATGAAAAGGCTGGGAGATTAGAGACATTGATTCAAAAGCGTATGAATGTTACTTTAAATCAAAACAATGAATTTAAAATAAATAAAAAAAATCTTTATTATTGGAATTATTTGGAAATGAGAAAATATTTGCTGATAAATATTGCTTAGTGTTGAAATAATATAAAATATAACTGATTTTAACAATGCGGATTTAAGCTTTTTAGAAATTCAGGCATTATATATGTAAGGGATTAAAACATTAGTTCGATTGTTTTTAAAAGTTATTGTAAATGCCTCATAATTAAATGTTGGTTGTTAAATCAACTGCTTCTTTAATTAGCTACATTAATATACCATTTGAAGCTCCTTGAGATTAATGCAGAATAATGAGATATGACACGGAAGATGAACCACCAAATTTTTATACCAAATGTTCAAACATCCAGATGTGGCTTACTAAGTAAAAACAATTCCTTTCACCTGGGTTGGGCAAGTTATCTGCATGAGCGTCATTTCACGTCTATAATGTAATACAAAAGAATTTTTTTCAGCAAAACAAATTAACGCGACAATAAGAAGAATATCTAAGTGCAGATGGATAGATGCGGCTGCAGAGGCAAAAAATTGACTTAGTTTTTCAAAAAAAATTCTCAAGGCAAAAATTTGGAAAATTTTAGAGAAATTGGCTGGAAATGCCTGGTTTAAAAAACCTTGGTCTGCTCTAAGTTGTTGTGTCAGATTTGATGACGATGAATATTTTTATTGCAAATAACAAATCCAAGCTTAATACTTACTTCCACTGGGAATTTCTCCTGTGATATATTCTATAACAAAGTAAGATAAATTATGGTACAATTATAACAAAATGATCAAAAAATTACAAATTAATAGATAATATTTTCAATTGACTATTTAAAGATAACTTTTAGATATGTTTTAACTGTTTCCGTAAAGAAAATTTTCCATATAATGGAATATTATACTATACATTCTCAGAAAACTTTTAAAGTATTGCAATAATATATATATATATATATATTATATTATTCAAAATTAGATAAAACAAAGGACTATTAGACTAACATTAGACTTCTTGCCCTAAGAATGTACCCTGCTGTTAGGAACTAGGTTAATTCATAAGGCTCTCGTTCACTTATTTGTATAAGATTAGTGGTATCTACAGTTGTGTTTTTAATCCCATGACTAAAAATAAAATTTTTAATTCCAACTCCTTATCACATAGCTAAGCTTTCAGCTTTCAAACAATGTGCCCTCGAATTTCATTGAATATGGGTCTTGCACGAATACAATTCAGGCTAGTAGGTGAAAGCAGTCGATAAATGAGTTTTCTCCGATTTATGTCGTCTTTTTTATGGTTATTTAACAATTTTTGTTTATGGTAAATCAGCGATTAAATATATAGCTATTTAAGCATTTTTTACTGAAACTTTTTAGCAGTGTGCTATCAAATTCTTATATGAGAAAAGTTCTCGTTTTATAAAGAAAAAAAATATATTTTTTTCTGTTTCGACTGTTTGCTTTAAATAAAAATTACTCTATTTTAGCTACTAGAAAAATTTTATTTAGTTTAAAACACTCCGGACATACCCCCACTTAGATATTCCCTGGTCGCAAATCCCAAAAATAAATTAATCAATATATTTTGATGTAGATTAATAACTAGTTGAAATTTTCAGATCCAAGATAATTTCAAACCAAAGCAGATTTTTTTTTTAAACAAAGATCACAGATTTAATAGAAAAATATTTTTATAGTGTTTAGTTGCTAATGTAAAGTAGATCATAGTTTTCATTTAAAATATTAATGCTCAAGATTTTAAAGACGTTTAAGAAATGAAGTAAGTGGTCTTTGTTTATGTATTTTTCTTCGATTTTTTTAAATTTAAAATGTTCATTTACCGCCATTTGATAATTTTTATGAGACACATACTGAAATTATAATTTTAAAATTTTAATGATAATTTTTTAAAAAAAATATTTTATTGTCCGCATCTGATCCTAGATTTCCTGTTATTTTATCCGAAATCTTTTCTGTGTAAGGGTGGAAATATAAAATAAAACAGATTGTTAAGTGCTAAAAATCAGTTTTATATATATATATATATATATATATGCTAAAATTAAAA